CGGCTGGGTTGCTAGTATCCGGCAATGTGTAACTGCCGAGAATCAGTTTCTGTTTAAACCAGTTTCTGTTTAAACCAGTTTCTGTTTAAACTGGTTTAACGTAGTTGTCGAGTCAGTTTATGCTGAGATTGGTTCACAGTTGGGTTTGTTGGGGTGAGTTTAGTCCAGTTGTTGAGAGTCGGTTTCTGTCAATGTTTCTTCAGTGAAGGCAGGTTAGTTGGGTTTGTTAGGCTTAGTTCAAAGGGTGTTTGATAGTTGTGGAGTCCTGTAGCTCAGTGGTTAGAGCACTCGCTTTGCAAGCGAGAGACCTGAGTCCAATTCCAGGCAGAGGGCGAAACCTTGGGCAAGTTTCCTTACTCCACACAGAGCCTAATAATAATCCCTCCAATACCAAAAACAATAATAAATTGGTCATTTTCAATCCACGACTGTTTGTGCGACATTGCTGTGCGCAATTGGCTGCCGCGTTCGCCCACAGATGTACAGTCAATTCACTTTACAGTGTGTTCTGTGAAGCGCTTTGGGACGTCCTCCCGACGTGAAAAGCGCTATATCAAATGCAAGGATTATTATTATTATTATAGTTGGTTTGTGTCAGGGCAGGTTCAGTGTAGTTACACTGTATGGTTTGAGTTATGCAGTGTAGTTTGAGTCAGTGGGTGCCAGGGTTGGTTGCTGTAGTTGGTGAGAGGCGGCCTCTGTCGGAGCCTTAGTCTAGTTGTTGGGAATTAATTGCTCTCGATTTGACCAGTGTAGACACGAGAGTTGTTTTGTGTCGGGGCTGGTTCAATGAAGTCGAGGTGTTGTGAGACAGGGGTGGCTTTGTGTTTGTCAGAGGATCTCTTTTCGTTATCGAGGCAGTTCATGTTGAGATTGTTCAGTGTATTTGATGAGTGTTGGTCAGTGTCGGGGCTGGTTCAGTGTAGGCACACAGCCAATTTATTTACAGCAGGTTCGTTGCACGACTTTAGACTATACGGTAAGTGAGGATACGTGGAAACTTCAAGCTACTTATGTCATCTTTCTTAGTCCTCCACCAGATGCTTAGCCATCCACCAAATGTTAAACCCTCAACCAGACGCTTAACCCTCAATCGGATGTCTAGCCCTCAACCAGACACCTAGCCCTCAACCAGAGGCTAATGCCTTAATTAGAGACTTAACCCTCAACCAGATGCTTAGCCCTCAACCACTTCTAACCCTAGCACTTCTGATCATAGTATTTTTAACCGTGGCACTTCCCTCCCTAACACTTCTAATCCTAGCCCTTCTAACCCCAGCTCTTCTAATACTATTACTTCTAACCCTAACACTTCTAAGCCGAGTGGTTTTAACCCTAGCAATTCTAACCTAGTACTTCTAACCCTAGCACTCCTGACCCCAGCACTTCTGACCCCAGCACTTCTATTTCCAGCTCTTTTAACCCTAGCAACCCTAACCCTAGCACTTCTAACCCTAGGACGTCTAACACTATCACTTCAAACCCTAACACTACTAACCCTAGCCCTTCCAACCCTAGGACTACCAACACTAGCACTTCTAACCCTAGCAATTCTATCCCTCGCACCTCTAACCCTTGCACATCTAACCCCAGCACTTCTAACCGTTGCACTTCTAAACCTACCAATTGTAACCCTAACACCTCTAACCTTAGCACTTCTCAGGCTAGCACTTCTAACCCTGTGTTAGCATTTGTTCTGTGTTTTTTTCCCACATATTTGTTCGTATTGTCTCCTTTCCAAACATCTTTGGTGTCTATTTTCGCTTTTTGGGGTGTTTTTCTATGTCATCATTTGTTCTGCGTTTTTGTCACGTATTGCATTATTGCTTTGGCTCTAAAAATGATGAGGAGTCATCTCAACATCTTTGACGCTTTTTTCGCATTTATTGGTGTTTCTATGCGCTATCGTTTCTTTTGCATTTTTTTCGTAATGTTCTACTCATCATTTTTCTCAATATCTTCCTATTTTCAGGTCTCGGCTGAAGACCTTTCTTTTCGACCGCACCTTTGGTCACCTTCCTCCCCCTCCCCTCTGGCCCCTCCCCCTCCCCCTGGCTCAGCCCCGGGATCCATTACTGTGAAGCGCTCTGAGACGCCGTCCGGCGTGGAGGGCGCTATACAAATCCAAGTTGTTGCTGTTGTTCTGCATCTTTTTCATGTGTCTTCTCATATTGCCTCATAATTGTTCACAATATCTTTGGCAGTTTTTTTGCATGTTTTGGCGTTTTTATATGTTATCATTTGTTCTGCATTTTTGTCGTGTATTGTCTCCTCATCATTTTTCTCACCGTTTTTGGCATCTATTTTTGCATTTTTTGGCTTTTTCTGTGTTATTTGTTTTGCATTTCTTTCATGTATTTTTTGTTGTGTTGTCACTTCATCATGTTTCCCAACATCTTTGGTGTCTTTTCTCTCGTGTTTGCGTGTAACGATTTGTTCCTCGTATTCTTTTCACGTAGTTTTGTTGGCTTAAGGGGTGGGGTTGGGAGAGTGGCCGAAGGCAACTCTCAAAGAGGAAAGTTTTGAGATGGGTCTTGAAGATTCGATAACAGCTTTTAAGAGAGAACTGGATAGGTATCTGGGGAAGACGGGTTTGCAGGGTTATGGGGAGAAAGCTGGTGACTGGGGTTAGTGAAAGTGTCGCTCTGTCAAAGAGCCGCACAGACTCGATGGGCCGAATGGCCTCCTTCTGTGCCGTAACATTCTATGAATCTATGAAAAAGGCAGCGAGCAAAGGGGCAAAGCGAGGGGCTCCAGGATGGAGTTCCAGTGGGTCAGAGAGGCCCCCAGAGAGGCCCGACTGCCGATGGTGGGGCAGGTAGGGCGGGGGACCTGAAGCAGGCCAGTGCAGCCTTTAGTACTTGGGAGATTGTGGGGTGGATGGTGGTTGAATGTTTCCAGGATGGGGCTGAGGATACTCTACAGAGAAGCTCAGGCGAGCAGTAAACAGAGAGACAGAGCCTGGACGGGAGCCAGGGGTCAGGGGTGATAACCAGCTGCAGGGTCTCGGAGGTGCGCTTGGGGTCTGTGCCGGGAGCCGTGATAGGAAATCCATTGGCCGTGCTGCCCCAGCACACGCTCACTGCCAGAGCTCAGCACATCTGGAGCAAATCTTGGAGGCTCTCAGGCTCCAGCTGCAGAGACACCAGTCAGACAGATTTCCTCTGCTTTTGCTGTTGTCCTGGCCACGCTCAGTGTCTCACACAGTTTGTTAGAAGCGTTCGCCTACTCAAGGCTTCGATAATAACAATATGGTTACACAGGGGAAGCGATCTCATACGCCACCCTGCCTGGGTGCCCTATATAAATGCAGTTGTTGCTGTTGTTGATAACAATAATCCTTGCATTTGATATAGCAGCGCCTTATATAGGTTACACAGTGTGTGTGTGTCATTGAGACGTCTCAAAGCGCTTCACGGGATATACTGTAAAATGGATTGACTGTGTGTGTGTGTTACACAGTGAGTGTGTCTGTTACACAGTGTGTGTTTTTGTGTTACACAGTGCCACACACTGTGTGTGTTGTAGTGTGTGTGTGTGTTATATGGTGTGTGTGTGTTACACAGTATGTGTTATGCAATGTGTGTGTTACACAGTATGTGTTATACAGCGTGTGTGAGAGTTACTAAGTGTGTGTGTTACACAGTGTGTGTGAGTTACAAAGTGTGTGCATTACACGGTGTGTGACTGTGTTACAGTGTGTGTGTTTTACAGTGTCTGTGTGTTGCACACTGTGTGAACACAAGCAGGAATTAATGTTGGAACATTCAGTGGTCTGGGAGGGGTCACTACGGAAAGCCAGAGCCCAAACTCAGACTGAACGCAACAAATTCCCCAAACCCTGGCCGATGGGAGGATGCCAAAAAATCATCAGGTTTATTTGGTGCCTCAAAATGTGTCTTAAGTGAGTCCAGGGTGAGAACTTTAACCATCCTCCCCAGTGACCCTGCCCGGCTGCCGATCATCCTCTGTGTAAAGAAACATTTCCTGGTGTCTGTACTCAACTTCCCTTTGCTGACGCCTGGGACCTCGTGATCATAGGAACGGTTATAAAAATAATAATCCTTTTACATTTAGCAGAGCGGCTTATCACATTGCCATCCATCTTTGGCTGCAAAATACACAGTCACTACACTTCACAGTAAACCCTGTGAAGTGTGTGTCGGACACAAGCAGGAATTAATGTTGAAACATTCGTTGGTCTGGGAGGGCTCACTGTGGAAACCTCGCTCAGAGGATCCAGTTTAAAATCCTCACCTCATTTTTAAAGCCCTCCACAGCCTTCTCCCTTACCTCTGAGGCCTATTAACACCGCACAAACCTGTCCGCTCCCTCCGCTCGGCAGGCACTGGCCTGCTCCATGTCCCCCGCCCTGCCCGCTCCACCATTGGCAATCGGCCTACAGCCTTTCTGCTCCCACCCTCTGGAACTCCATCCTGGAGCCCCTCCACCTCGCCTCTTCCCTCGTCTCCTTCAAAGCCCACCTTAAGACTTTTCTCTTTTGACTGTACCTTTGGCCACCCTCTCACCCCGCCCTACACCCTCCCACCCTGATCCGTCCTCCCGCCCTTCTTGATTCCAACTCCCAGTTCAGACGCAAACCCTTCACTGTCCAACACCTTGGGACCTACTCTGGACGTGAACGGCACTTTCTAAATATAATTTGTTGTTGTTGAGAGTTTGAAAGTGCTTCACAGGGTAAACTGTGAAGTGGAGTGACTGTGTATTTTCTAGGTGAAATGCCCCCAGGTTCCCCTCAGTCAGAGAGTCAGCACAGGGGCAAGGGGAGCGATGTGGACGTGCTTTGAATGAAATCCCTGTAGCGCTTTGATCCTGTCTCTCTGACTCTCTGAAACTTGCAAGCGGTAAAACATGTGGAATTAATAAGAATCTGATTGAGATATTGGGTTGGCCCTCCTCCCCCGCCTCCCCGCTCCTGGCCCATCTGTTGGAACATTCCTAACCAATGACTGAGAGCAATACCGACCCAAAAACACTCACAGACACACACTCCACAGCAGCTCAGACTGTGCGAGCAGCAGCCCAGACCCTTCCCCACCATGAGATCCCTCATGCGGACCCTCGCTGTGCTCTCAGCCCTCCTGGCGCTCGCTGGCGCCCAGCCCGCCTTCTTGGAGTACATCGAGAGGAGACTGGCATCATTTGAGGTGAGTGCTCGCTGCCCACCAAACTCATGCCCTCCAACACGGCGGAACATTGGCAGCGAGCGCCACCGTGTGTGTGTGTGTGTGTGTGTAAGCAACGCCGCGTGGCCATGGCTGGGGTGACACAGGTCGGGCAGGTCTCAGCAATGACGGCAGTAATGATTGTTTGTGGGCCAATGCTCTGCACAATTGGCTGGCGCACTTCGCCCAGAAAATAATAATAATCTTTGCATTTGATACAGCGCCTTAATCACCTCTTTGAAACATCTCTTCACCGTATATTCTGTGAAGCGCTTTGAGACGTCTCGAAGATGCGATAAGGCGCTATATCAAATGCAAGGATTATTATTATTACATTATTATTAACTTCAGGCTGATGTGCTCCTTTGGACTGAAGCGAACGCTGATAATAAAATGTAGCCAACCTGTGCTGTTGGCAGTTTCTCCCTCTGCTATGTTATCATCGAGACTAAGAGCTTCACGGGGTTTCACTGTGAAGCGCAGTGACTGTGTAACCGAGCGTTGTTCGATCTCCTCCAGTATTTGCTTGGAGACGTGGGAACTTCATCTGTTCCAACTGAGCAGAAACAGGCGATTTTCATCACTGTGTATAAATGAGGTCACATCCAGGGCATTGCGGGCAGGTCTGCCTTGTACTAAACTGACGTGTTTCAGAATTAGTCTGAATCTGTGTGAATTATCTTTCTTTTTCCCCCCTTCTCTCTGTCTCTCTCTCTCTCTCTCTCTCTCACTCTGTCTCTCCCCAGGTTCGATTCCCTGACAGGGTAAACCTTAGTTAAGTTTCCTTCTTCCTCACGCCTGTTTGCCTGGCAGTAAGTAGGAAGCTGGTTGTTAGTCGATTGACGCGTGGTTTTCTGGGGGTAACAATCGCTCAAAGTAAACAAAAACAAATTTTCGTCACTCAATCTGTGACTGTTTGTGGGGCACTGCTGTGCGCTGTGTTTTGCCCACAAAATCCACTTTACGGTATATTCAGTGAGCGCTTTGAGACGTCTCAACAACTTGATAAGGCGCTATAATAATAATAATAATCCTTGCATTCGATATAGCGTCTTATCACAGCGTTGAGACGTCTCAAAGCGCTTCACAGAATATACTGTAAAGTGAATTGACTGAATCAATTGCAAGGATTATTATAATACATAATAGTATGTATTATAATATAATAATATGTATTGTACATAATAATACATATCAATAATAATATACATAATAATACGTATTACTGTTATGCATTGTAATTGTTATTGCGTTATTTTTATGTTATTATTCTGTATCAAATGCAAAGATTATTGTTATTATGAATTATTATTGTTGCGTGTGGTGTGTAGGACCGTATCACTGTGTGGAATGATCAGACGCAAAGATACGCCACAGAGTACCGGGACTTCAAGAACCGCATCATCAGCATGGTGGAGAACATAGACAAGCAGCGGGAGGAGCAGAGGCGTCTGCTGGAGATATCGAATTCCCGCATCGAGCGCCTGGAGCGGGAGTTGGATTACATGGAGACACGGAACCCGATACCCACCTGCATTGAGATGGATGACAAGCTGATTGAGCAGCAGTTCACTCGAGGTCAGGATAAGAAGCCCAAGCAAGTCAAAGCCATAGGTAGGTGGGCGACAGCCAAATGCACAGCGCTGAGTGTCAGCCCGGCTTAGGCGCTCGTCTCTGAGTCAGAAGCATTGCACTGGAGTGTCAGCCTTAGACTGTGAGCGTAAAGTCCGAACATTAGGATTTTGAGCTCACAGTCAAGGCTGAAAGTCCAGAGAAGCGTTGCATTGTCAGACATGCCGTCCTTCAGATGAGACATTTAAGTGGTCAGAGCACTCGCCTCGAAGCGAGAGGACCCGGGTTCTCTTCAAAAATAAATAATACATAATAATAATAATATGGTCTCTCAATCCACAATTGTTTGTGGGACACTGCTGTGCGCACTGCAGACATGGGGTCAACTTCCACGTGTGCGCGAGTGACACCCAACTCTACCTCTCTGCCTCCACCCTTGACCCAGGACCCACTGCTGTCCTGACTAAATGTCTGTCAGACATCAAGTCCTGGATGAGAGTTAACTTTCTTCAGTTGAACATCAACAAGACCGAGGCTCTCCTGATCGGCTCCCATCAGCGGCTCAGGCACTGACAGCATCACCATCCATAGTTGCACCCTCCACCTCGCTAAGCCAGTCCGGAACCTTGTGTCTTGTTTGACCCTTAATTATCCTTTCTAACCCACATCCCCACATGACCCATTCTGCCTTCCCCAACCTTCGCAACATCGCTCGGCTCCGCCACCGTCTTACACCGCAGGACGTCGAAACCCTCACACGTGCATTTATAACATTGAGGCATTTATAACACAGAGGATACAGTTTAAGATACTGGTCCTCACCTTCAAATCCCTCCATGGGTTTGCTCCACCCGACCTCTGTGACCTCCTAACTCCCTACCATCCTGCCTGCTCCCTCCGCTCAGCGGGCTCTGGCCTGCTTCACTTCCCCTGCCTCGTCCGCCCCATCATTAGCAGGTGGGCCTTTTGCCACCCACTCTCTGGAACTCCACCCTGCAGTCCCTTGGGACGTCCTCCTGACATGAAAGGTACTATACATATGTAATTTTGTTGTTGTTGTTGTAGTACGTAATTGGCTTCCGCGTTTTGCCCACAAAATATACAACAACAAGAGTCCATTTATAGAGCGCCTTTCACGTCGGGAGGACGTCCCAAGGTGCTGTACAGTTGGGTCAGGACCCGAGCATTGGGGGGAAATGGTGAGGGGGAGGGAAGGGAGGGAGCGAGGAGGGGGTAGAGAGTCGAGGGGGGAGCTGAAGGCTGAAGAGAAGCCAACAGCCAATTCACTTTACAGTATATTCTGTGAAGCGCTTCGAGATATCTCAAAGACGTGATAAAGCACAATATTAAATGCAAGAATTATTATTAAATTTTACGCAGTTCAAACAGAACTCAACCCCTGAAGCTTCAGATGAATCCAGCATGTGAACAGTTCCTACAATGTTCTCTTGAATAACCACTTGTGTACATAATTCTTAATAAAATGCGGCAAATCAAGAAAGCTACAAAATAAAATACTGGATAATGTGACACCAGTAATCAAGAGGCCAAGAATTTTTCAAAACTCTTACAGCATCTGCTATGAACATTCCTAAACTTTAGCTAAAGTTTAGACAAAGTCACATGAAATCAAGTGATAAATTCCATACCAAACCTGTCTACTCACTCCCCTCAGTGGGCAACAGCCTGTTTCATGTCCCTCTGCCTGGCCCACCCCATCATCGGCAGTCAGGCCTTCAGCCTTTCTGTCCTTTAGAACTCCATCCCACAGTCCCTTTGCTTCGCTCCCTCCCTGACCTCCTTCAAGACCCTCCTCTTCGACCGTTCCTTCAGCTCCAAGTCCCCTCCCTGCCCTCCACACTCTCTGATCCAAACCCCCAGCTCCGGTCCGAATCCCTGACTGTCCAGGACGTTGATGTGAAGGGCGTAAATGTCATTTGTGTTGTTGTTGATAAGGCGCTATATCAAATAGAAGGGTTATTTTGATGATGATGATGATGATGATGAAGACACTAACTTTCGATGCTGTCCGACCCTTTCACAGACTGCGTACATGCCATCGGGAGCATCAGGGCCATGAAGATCGTGAAGAAGCTGGACACTCCGGCCGGCCTGTGGACAAGAGATGTCCTGTCGGACTCGGACAAGCTGTACGTGTTCGACGGCACCGGTAACGACACGGTGTACGAGTTCGCCAACATGCGGGACTTCACCGACTTCCCGGGGATGGTGAGAGCCACGAAGCTCCGCCTGCCCCACCCCTGGGCCGGCACCGGCCACACTGTATTCCAAGGCTTCCTCTACTACATCCGCACTCAGCCCGACTTCCAGGTCATCAAGTACCACCTGGCCAATCGCACAGTGGTGGACAGCGCCATGTTCCCGGCTGAGCAGCAGATCCCAGTGTACGGCCTCTCGCCGTTCACCTACATTGACCTGGCCGCGGACGAGGATGGGTTGTGGGCGCTCTATGCCACCCAGGAGAATGCGGACCACATCTGTCTGGCCAGGATGGACCTCCAGACCCTGGACATCGAGCAGATGTGGGATACGCCCTGCCCCATCCAGGACGCCGAGGGGGCCTTCGTGATCTGCGGCACGGTGTACGTGGTGTATAACAGCAAACTGCGCAGCCGCTCCCGCATCCAGTGCGTGTTCGATGTGAGTGACCTGGTGACCAGTGAGAACGCTCCCCTGCTCTACTTCCCCCGGCGCTATGGCACCCACTCCAGCATCAAGTACAACTCCGGGGACCGGCACCTCTACGCCTGGGACGACGGTTACCAGATCATCTACCGGCTCAGCATGAAGGACAAGTCTGAGCTGTGAAACACACACACACCCTCGCTGCAGCCCCCCTACCCACCCACAACTATCTCTTCCCAACCACTGCTGCTCAATCCCACCCCCAACTCCCTCCTCACCAACTCAATCCCTATTGTATATTCATCCCCCTCTTCCTCACACGCACACACCATCAGCAGACAAGCTTTCACTCACTTCCCCCAGGACATGCTATCTCAATACTCATGCCCCCGCCCACCTCCATCCTCTCTGAAGAACTTTGAAGCCCTTATCCTGTATGACAGGTGCTGCAACCAGTGTGAGTCACACCAGTCTATCTCACAGTCCTCGTCCTGGTCAGGCTCCGCTGGCTCCCTCTTCCATCTTCCTCTTCGACCATGCTTACAGTCATGTCCCCCCTCCCCCGGCTTTGTGTCAGCCCCACCACTGTGGAGTCCTGTAGCTCAGTGGTTAGAGCAATCACTTTGCAAGTGAGAGACCTGAGTTCAATTCCAGGCAGAGGGCGAAACCTTGGGCAAGTTTCCTTACTCCACACAGAGCCTAATAATAATCCCTCCAAAACCAAAAACAATAATAAATCGGTCATTTTCAATCTACGACTGTTTGTGGACATTGCTGTGCGCAATTGGCTGCCGCGTTCGCCCACAAATATACAGTCAATTCACTTTACAGTGTGTTCTGTGAAGCGCTTTGGGACGTCCTCCCGACGTGAAAAGCGCTATATCAAATGCAAGGATTATTATTATTATTATTAAGTGCTACCCAGTGTGAGGGGCGCTATGTAAATGCAAGTTGTTGTAGTTGTTTCCCAAAGCACTTTGAGAGGTTTTGACATGAGAGTCATAGAATTATACAGCACAGAAGGAGACCATTCAGCCCATCAGTTATCCCCACACCACCATGCTTGCTCTTTGGAAGAGCTACCCAAATTAATCCCACACCCCCACTCTCTCCCCATAGCCTTGCAAATATGTCCTACCCAAATATCTATCCACATTATAGGCGTATATCAACTGTAAGGATTATTATTAAAAAAAACTAAATTATACTTTTAAAACTGGCGTTAGTTATTTGTATGAATCAACGGAACAAACTAAATAGGAGGGAATGGCTTAGCCCACAGCCATGGAGTAAGTGCACGCACGGAGCAGGAAAAAACAGGGACGTAGAGCTCTGGGATCCAGCAGAGAGGCTGAGGAAATCAGTGATGTCAGGCACATACTGAGCAGGCTCCAACACTGACCACAACCGACTGTGGTCACGTCTCGGCCGATGATATTAAACTGGAATCGTTTCTGATCCCCAACCCAAAGTGAAGAGATCCAGGTGTGGCCCAGCTCAGTCACTCATTCGCGTCTCTGGCTCAGAAGGTTGTGGGTTCGAACCCCACGTCGGGACTTTAAACTCACACTAGTTCTGACGGTGCAGTGATCCAGCAGGTCTCTCCCTCAACAAGGTTTCAGTAATTAAACAAAACGGGTTTCTCACAAGCCAAAGATCAGCCTTCCCTCCACTCCCCTCCGCTAACAATCCTCACTTTCAACCTTGCTGCAGAGACCTTCAAAGACCTCCATGGCCTTGCTCCTTCCTACCTCTGTGACCTGCTAATGTCAGATCAACCCACTCAGCAGGCTGCAGAGACCTGCTCCATGTCCCCCGCCCGGCCAGACGCACCATTGGTTTTCGAGCCTTCAGCCTCTCTGCCTCCAACCTCTGGAACTCCATCCCACAGTCCCTTTGCTTCACTCCCTCCCTGGCTCCTTCAAGGCCTGTCTCAAGACCCTTCTCTTCGACCACTCCTTCGGCCACCCTCCTACTCTTACCCTCCCTGCCCTCCACCCCTCCTGAGCCCATTCCCCAGCTCGGGTCCAAATCCCTGACTGTCCAGCGCCTTGGGACATCCTCCTACGTGAAAGGTAATTTGTTGTTGTTAAGCACAGACACACATACAAAGTGGAGTTTTACAGCCCAACATCACACGAGCGGTTTCACAATAATAAATTGTTCATTTTCAATCTACGACTGTTTGTGGGACATTGCTGTGCGCAATTGACTGCCGCGTTCGCCCACAAATATGCAGTCAATTCACTTTACAGTCTATTCTGTGAAGCGCTTTGGGACGTCTAGAAGACGTGAAAAGCGCTATATCAAATGCAAGGATTATTATTATTATTATTATTATGAAGAAGCCTTTCGGTTCATCTGAACTCATCCCTCCAGAACACCCACCTGACTCTCCCCATCATAGCATCAAATTGCTTTTTAAATAAGTGCCAGTGTTGTGGCCTCAACTACCTTTCCTGGTAACCTGTTCCAGGTGTCAATTACCCTCTGGGTAAAGAAAAACCTGTGTCTGTCCTGAAATTGCCCTTTTCGTAACTCCAAACCTGTGTCCTCTTGTTCTACTGTCTTTTACATCCAAAAGTAATGATCTGAGTTTACTTTTTCAATCCCATTTAAAATGTAATCCACCTCTATAGGTCCCTTTGGTCCCGTCTGAGTTTTCTCTGAAGGCTGAAGAGCCCGAGCTTGTCTTATCATCGTTCGTTGCTCAATCCTCTAACCCTGGGGTTCAGCCTCTGCACTGCCTTTTGGTCTGTGATGTTTTGGTGTCTTGTTTCGTGGAGACCAGAAAGTACCTACTGGCAGGAGCTGGTACCCCGCAATCTGCCCTCTCCGCGCCCCCCATTGATTCAGAGAGAGTTCAATCTGCAGTGACAGCTAAACACCAAGAAAAACACACTCCTGGCGACGGCAGCCTCAGCGAGGCCAGCCCCCTCTCAGGAGAGCAGCCTTTTGTGCAGAACAATTTTACAAAGTTGAAGGTTGATGAAGTTGGCCTGTTGTTGCTGCCATAAACGGGCCTCAAATTGGTGAGTGCTCCGCACAGCATCCTGTGGGGCTTGGCTACGTTCCACCTCCTAAAGAGTAACATGAATGGAAAGTTCAACTCAAGGTCCAAATGTGGGTTAGAAAACAGAACAACATTTTTGCGGGGAAGGGGTTTTGTGCACGTCTTTGTGTGTGTGTCCGTGTCTGTATGTGTGTGCATGTGTGTGTAGAAGGGTTGTGTGTATTTGTTTGTGTGAGTATGTCTGTGTGTGTGTATGGGTTGTGTGGGTTCAAAGGTTGTGTGTGTGTGCACAGGTATAAGAGTTCTGTGTGTGTGCAAGGGTTTGTCTGTGTATGAATGTGTGTGCAAAGGTTGTGTGGGTATAAGGGTTGTGTGTGTGTGCAAGCGCTATGTATGTGTGCGCAAGGGTTGTGTGTGTGTGACTGTGTAATTGTGTGTGTAAGAGTTGCAGTGTGTGCTTGTGAGTATAAGGGTTGTGTGTGCATGCATGGATTGTTGTGTATGGGGAGGGTTGTGCGCGCGGGCAAGGGTTGTGCATGTAAAGGTTGTGCGTGTGTGTATGTGCGGGCGTGCAAGGGTATTGCACACGTGTAAGGATTGTGTGCGCGTGTGTGTGTGTGTGGTGGGGGGGGTTTCAGAGCAAAGTGAAAGGGGAGGACAAGGACATATGAAGAATCCTGAACTTTTCTTTTTGCAGAAAGAACCAAGTAATTAGTTGAAAATTGAAAACACAGGTTTCCTCACAGTCACCGAGTTAAGTTCCTGCCTTGCCCTCAGCAGCAGTCTACTTTTAATGGAAATAAAGCGTTTTATGTGCTGGAACGAAAGACATATGAAATCATTTTTAAAAGCTTTGTAAATATGTTCTTATTCCAGTCGACATTTACTCAGCCCCTCCAGGGGCGAACACACGCCACATCTGGCGCAGTGACCCTAACGGGGATTTTCATTGGCAAACACACTGGGTTTCATGTTGTGTAAATATCCCCCATAAATGTTAAAATGCCGGGCTTCAAAGTACAGTGCAGTACTGGGTCGCTTTGAACTATACCACAGCGAATGTTTACACTTATTAAACAGTCATTTCAGGCTAAGCAGAATTTAATAATAATAATGATATGTCCAAAGACCATCACATTCGATACTGGAACATCAAAAGATCCCAAAATATCTCAAAGTGGTTCACAGCATTCATTTTATATGTAGTAACTGTAGTTTTGTGGGCTCACCACACAGCAATATCCTGCACAGTGAAGTGAATGATCAATTTGTACGTCAGCCTGTCGCAGTGGGTAGCACTCTCGCCTCTTAGTCGTGGGTTCACACACCCATATCAGGACTTGAAATCATATAAGCTGACACTCCAGTGCAGTAAAAATATTGTGGAGTCCTGTAGCTCAGTGGTTAGAGCACTCGTTTTGCAAGCGAGAGACCTGGGTTCGATACCTGGCAGGTCAGGGCGAAACCTTGGGCAAGTTTCCTTACTCCACACAGAGCCTAATAATAATCCCTCAAAAAGAAAACAATAAGAAATTAGTCACTTCAATCCACGACAGTTTGTGGGACATTGCTGTGTGCAATTGGCTGCCGCGTTCGCCCACAAATATACAGTCAATTCATTTTACAGTATATTCTGTGAAGCGCTTTGAGACATCGAGAAGACGTGAAAAGCGCTATATCAAATGCAAGGATTATTATTATTAATAAGTCAGCGAGTCAGGCAGCATCCAAGGAGAGAGGAAAGTGGGTCATCGACCTGAAACACTAGCCCACTTTCCTATCTCCATAGACACTGTCTGACCTGCCGAGTGTTCCCAGCGACTTCTGTTGTTGTTTCAGATTTCCAGCATCTGCAGTATTTTGCCTTTTGTATATTCCAAAGCAGCGCTGCGGGTGTTACACTGACAAGGATGTCATTCAACAGCCAGTTGTGGGAATGAATTGCAAGGCCAGCCACCTTCTGAGTGAAGAATTCCTCATAATCTAACCTCTTGCCTCATTTTTCTTTCTCTCTTAAACAGACCCATCCTGACACATTCTTGGTGTATCAGCTCAGATAGTAAGTATTGGGAGATGTTGAGCCACGATTTCCAGCACATTCTCGCCCACTGCTGATACTCACATATTTCGCCCACAAAATACGGTCAATTCACTTTACAGTATATTCTGTGAAGCGCTTTGAGACGCTTCAAACATGTGATAAGGCGCTGTATCAAATACAAGGGATATTATTATTATTAATGACTGAAGCAGGAATGCTGCCTAATTTCTATCCCCCGACCGACCCCCGTACCATCAAGTGTAACACCAATCCTCCACACACCCCCAACCCAAACACACACACAACGGGATCTGCTAACTGAACACAGACTGTATCAATGGAATTCAGGACCTCCTTCTGCACTATGACTCAGTTGATTGCGTTTAACCTCTGGGTCAGAATATTGTGAGTTCAGGCCCTGTGTTCGGGGATGTTCAGGGATGCTACCCTGCATGAGGGGCATTATATAAATGCAAGTTGTTGTTGTCACTCACTCCCTGGCCATTTGGGTAATACTGATCTGCTGTGTTTGCCTACAAATATAGTTATTACACTTCACAGCAAAATCCAGTGGAGCCCTTCGAGTCACCCTGACAATGTGTTAAGGGCTCGGTCAGATGTCAGGATTATTCATTATTACTGAGACCGAATCACTGGAATTATTCAAAGGGGAACTGGATAAGCACTCGGTAAAAATAAGCATTAGGGGATACGGAGAGAGAGCTGGGAGATGGGATAGTGTAAAACAACAATAAATTACATTTATATTGTGCCTCGGCAAGTACGTCCCGAGGCCTCAGACAGTCAGGGATTTGGAACCGATCCGGGAGGTTGGGACCAGGAGGGGTGGAGGACAGGGAGGACAGGGATAGGAAGGTGACCAAGGGCGCAGTCGAAGAGGGTCTTGAGATGTGTCTAGAAGGAGGCAAGGGAGGGAGCAAGGCTGTGGGATGGAGTTACAAAAGGAGGGGATGGAGAACCTAGAGGTCAGATGGTGGAGCGGGCTGGACAGGGGACGTGGAGCAAGTCACAGCTGCTGAGTGGAGGGAACGTAAAAAGGCTGATTTAGAAAGGCCACAAACTGTTTCACACACGGCCTCTTTCTGTGCTGACAACGTCCGTGTTTCCTGGACCGGCGGAGCTCTTGATCATAACTGAAGGAGTTGTGCGAATCTTTCTTACAGAGCGATACAGCGTTTATCTAATGTATCATCTGTTTATCCCTTCCCCCATCCACACACTCCCAGAACTGTTAAACTGTCGTTTTTATTATTAAACTGTTGTCTTTTCAATGTTAGAGCAGGAGATAGACACCAAACCCAAACGGTGTAACTGTACAGAGAGCTTTCTTTCCAAAAGGGGAATATGTCCCAATAGGTGACACCGAAGCAACCAGGCTTGTCAGGACTACATCACTATCTAGTGGCTAGAACTGAAAAGAACATCTTAAACCCATGCTCATCTAAATGTCCATTAATACAGGGTGACCAATAACTCGTGATATCTACCCTATTATCTAAAAAAAAATCATTATTTCTTTAAGACGTATAGGCATTTGGTCCACAAAATAAACAGTCAATTCACTTTACAGCATATTTTGTGAAGCGCTTTGAGACGTTTAGAAGACATGAAAAGCACTATATCAAATGCAAGGAGATTATTATTATTGTTTTTGTAGTAATGGTGTGACGTTTTGGTCACCCTATATAAATCGTGCAGGGCCTGTAACATCCAAATAGGCATGAAGGGATCGGCCGATTTAAGTGGATTTGTTGGCCAAGACTTCAGGGGAAACTCCTTTCTCATTTTTAAATAGAATCGCAACCTAAACAGGCAGACAGGACCTCAGTTTAGAGTCTTATGTAAAGTCTTTATATAGGAAACATAAATCAACGATTCAGTTTGTGGCTCCAGCTCTCTGTTTAGATTAGATTACGGCGGCTCTTTACATTGTTAAACTGATAATTTAAAAGGTTTTGTTGGGGAAAATCACCAGTGCAGTGCTAATGGGCCAAATGACCCACTTCATGTCTGTGCTGTAACGAACCTCAACTAAACAACAACAACAAAATTGCATTTGTATAGCGTCTTTCACGTCGGGAGAATGTCCCAAGGCGCTGGACAATCAGAGTTTCTGATCCGAGCTGGGGGTCGAGATCAGGGAGGGGGGTGGAGGGCAGTGGGGTGATCAAAAGCACAGTCGAAGAGGAGGGTCTTGAGATGGGTCTTGAAGGAGGCAAGACAGGATGCGAGCTGGGGGGACTGCAGGATGGAGTTCCAGAGGGTGGGGGCAGAGTGGCAGAAGGCGTGCACACCAATAATGGGGCGAGCGAGGTGGGGTCGAGAAGCAGGCTGGAGCCCACTGAGCAGAGGAAGTGAGCAGAATGGTAGAGGGTTAGGAGGTCACAAAGCGAGGCCATGGAGGATTTGAAGGTAGGAGCAGGATCTTGAACTGTATCCTGTGTGTGATGGGAAGTCAGTGGAGTCGGGCGGATGAGGGTGATAGGGTCACAGAGCCTGGTGCAGGAGAGGACACGGGCCGTAGAGTTCTGGATGATCTGCAGCCTATGGAGGGAGGAGTTGGAGAGGCCGACAAGCAATGAGTTTGCATAATCAAGCCTCAATGTTATGAATGCGTGTTTGAGGGTTTCGGCCGTCTGCGATGTGAGACAGTGGTGGAGTCGGGCGATATTGCGGAGGTGGGGGAAGGCAGAGCGGGTCATGGCACAGATGTGGGGTAGAAAGGATAGTTGAGGGTCCAGACTGGCTTAGTACGGTGGAGTGTGCAACCATGGAATGGTGATACTCTCAGCACCACAGGTGTGAAGGCGCTGACGGGAGCCAATCAGGAGAGCCTCGGTCTTGTTGACGTTCAACTGAAGAAAGTTAACTCTCATCCAGGACTTGATGTCCGACAGACATTGGTCCTGGAGTCGGGGGGGAGGCAGAGAGGTAGAGTTGGGTGTCATCCGCACACATGTGGAAGTTGACCTCATGTCTGCGGGTGATGTCACCAAAAGGGAGGATATAGAAATTGAACAGGAAGGGACCAAGGACAGAGCCCTGAGGATCACCACACAAGGTGGTGCGGGGGCTGGAGGGGAACCCGTTTGGGCAGATGAAGTGCGGGCGGTGTGAGAGGTACAATCTGAACCGGTCAAGGACAGAATTGTGAAGGTGGAGGTGAGAGAAGATGCAGTGGATGAGGACAGAGTGGTCGACAGTGTCGAAGACGGCAGAAAGGTCAAGAAGGACAAGGAGGCGGCACAGGGGCCCTGGTCACCGGCGGACGGGGCTCCTTCTGAACGATAAACAGCATCACTCATAGAGTCCGAGGAGGTCACACACTTTACAGTGGGGGGTTGGGGGCGGGGCTGTGGGTTGGGGGCGGGGCTGTGGGTTGGGGGTTGGGGCGGGGCTGTGGGTTAGGGGTGGGGGCGGGGCTCTGTTGGGGGTGGGTCTGGAGGGCGGGGCTGGGGGCGGGGCTGAGGGTTGGGGCGGGGCTGTGTTGGGAGCGGGGCTGAGGGCGGGGCTGTGGGTTAGGGGTGGGGGCGGGGCTGGGGCTGTGTTGGGGGCGGGGCTGTGGGCTGGGGGCGGGGCTGTATTGGGGGCGGGGCTGGGGGCGGGGCTGAGGGTTGGGGGCGGGCTGGGGTTGGGGGCGGGGCTGTGGGTTAGGGTAGGGGCGGGGCTGGGGTTGGGGGCGGGGCTGAGGGCGGGGCTGAGGGTTGGGGGCGGGGTTGTGTTGGGGCGGGGCTGAGGGCTGGGGGCGGGGCTGAGGGTTGGGGGCGGGGCTGGGGGCGGGGCTGGGGCGGGGCTGTGTTGGGGGCGGGGCTGGGGGCGGGCTGAGGGTTGGGGGCGGGCTGGGGTTGGGGGCGGGGCTGTGGGTTAGGGGTAGGGGCGGGGCTGGGGTTGGGGGCGGGGCTGAGGGTTGGAGGCGGGGCTGGGGCGGGGCTGGGGGCGGGGCTGTGTTGGGGGCGGGGCTGAGGGTAAGGGGTGGGGCTGTGTTGGGGGCGGGGCTTAGGGTTGTGGGTGGGGCTGTGTTGGGGGCGGGGCTTAGGGTTGTGGGCGGGGCTGTGTTGGGGGCGGGGCTGAGGGTTGGGGGCGGGGCTGGGGCGGGGCTGACAGGTTAACAGGTCAGTGGAGGAGAAGACAAGATGGCGGCGGTCGCGACAGTGGCGGCGCTCGGCCTCAGGCGGTGTCTCGGCCTCAGGCGGTGTCTCGGCCTCGGGCGGTGTCTCGGCCTCGGGCCGGCGCTGGGGGCCGGGGCTCGGCGGGCGCGGAGCGGGGGGCCGCCGGGGCGGTTGGAGCACGTGGCGGTCGCGGTGCGGGAGCTGGAGGCGGCGCGGGGGTTTTACCGGGAGGCGCTCGGGGCGGCGGTGGGCCCCGCGCTGCCGCTTCCCGCCCACGGGGTCACCGCCGCCTTCGTGGAGCTCGGCGGCTGCCGCCTGGAGCTGCTCGAGCCGCTCGGGCCCGACAGCCCCATCGCCGGTTTCCTCCGCAGGAACCCCGGCGGCGGCCTCCACCACATCTGTCTGGAGGTGAGTGACCTCTCCTCCGCCCTCCGCCAACTCCGCGCCCGCGGGGTCCGCACCCTCAGCCCCGACCCGCGCCCCGGGGCCCACGGCAGAGCCGTCATCTTCCTCCATCCCAAGGACTGTCACGGCGTCCTGGTGGAGCTCGAGCAGCTCTGAGCCGCCGCTGACCGCTCACACAGCCCAGGACCGACCGATGCTGATCGATAAGTACAACCGGGAGGTGGAGGGCGAGTCAACAGCTCGACCGGGACAACGGTTGGAAGGCAATAGCAACCAGAAGATCGATGGATAATCGACAAGACATCAGGAAATCGACTGGTTCTCAACAGTTGCACCAGAACAACCCTCGCTAATCAATACACCAGGGCAACCCTCGCTAATCAATACACCAGGGCAACCCTCGCTAATCAATAATACACCAGGACAACCCTCGCTAATCAATACACCAGGACAACCCTCGCTAATCAATAATACACCAGGACAACCCTCGCTAATCAATACACCAGGGCAACCCTCGCTAATCAATACACCAGGACAACCCTCGCTAATCAATACACCAGGCCAAGCCTCGCTAATCAATACACCAGGACAACCCTCGCTAATCAATAATACACCAGGACAACCCTCGCTAATCAATAATACACCAGGGCAACCCTCGCTAATCAATAATACACCAGGACAACCCTCGCTAATCAATAATACACCAGGACAACCCTCGCTAATCAATAATACACCAGGACAACCCTCGCTAATCAATAATACACCAGGACAACCCTCGCTAATCAATAATACACCAGGCCAAGCCTCGCTAATCAATAATACACCAGGACAAGCCTCGCTAATCAATAATACACCAGGACAACCCTCGCTAATCAATACACCAGGGCAACCCTCGCTAATCAATAATACACCAGGACAACCCTCGCTAATCAATACACCAGGACAACCCTCGCTAATCAATAATACACCAGGACAACCCTCGCTAATCAATAATACACCAGGACAACCCTCGCTAATCAATAATACACCAGGCCAACCCTCGCTAATCAATAATACACCAGGACAAGCCTCGCTAATCAATAATACACCAGGACAACCCTCGCTAATCAATACACCAGGCCAACCCTCGCTAATCAATAATACACCAGGACATCGCTGCCCGGCCTGGTGTCTGACACCTGCAGAAACCCATCACCTGCTTTCTAAGCCGAACTGGGAATTCCGTGGCTGCGCTGCCGCCTACACCTGGAAATAATAAAACCGGGACAACGGCTGATCTATAATGTAACCGGGACACTGACCGCAGGTCACCGTGTTACTCGCAAAGGATTTCCGACAAATCGATCACAAACCCCGAAGCTCCGAGTGTAGAATCGATAAACAACATCGCTGAACGAGAGCAATCGATCGCGTCCTCTCCCAAACCGGGAGACGACCATCAGAAAAAAACTGAAGTGGCTTTTCACGTGAAACCAACCAGTCGTGTAATTCCGCGGAGCCGAGACTCGCCTGGGAAAGAACCTCGGGACCGATTTGATTTCAGAAATGGATAGTGTTGGGTTTGCAGATGATTCCGGAGCAGCTCAAGTCCCTTCGCGCCTCCTCCAGGAGTCAGGTCGGGCGCGGAGGGTTTTAGTAAAAGGCAAAATACTGCAGATGCAGGAACTCTGGAATGAAGACTGAGATTGATGGGAACACTCAGCACGTCAGACAGCATCTGTGGAGAGATGTCATCGACCTGAAACATTAACCCACTATCCTCTCTCCATAGATGCTGGGTGTTCCCAGCGTCCTGGGTCTTTAGGAGTTTTAATAATCCAGCCTCAACATCCTCAACCAAAATAAGTGACTTTCAACCCGTGATCCCGGGAGGTGTAATACACGCCTGGAGCAGCGCAATGGCCATGTGGCTGTGTGTAGACTTTATTTAGCGTTATGAATTGGTGTGTAATCAGGATAAACTGGGAGTCATTTCAAGGCTTCTTTTGGTTTTCAACCCTTAATATGTAACCTCGAGCATCTGACATTTCCCCCTTTAGCGTTCTAAATAATAAATGAATTATACCTAAAATATAACTACTTAACTTTTTTGCTTGGTCTGAATGTAGAAGTTTTCGATCAATATTCTGGGTTCTTCTGACAGACGGCTGAGTGGGGCTTAGTCCCCCAGACCACGCGGCGAAGGTGACGAGAGAGCAAGTCAGTCGTCGGTTTGAACTTTTGCGATGGGCTGTGATGGTTACATTCCTCTTGTGCTTTTATATTGCTGAACGAGGTTGGACCTGCTCACCCTCATTAACCCAATTAGACCGAAATATTCCACAACGGAACGAGGATTGCCCCCGCGGACAAACCCCGCCCCCAAGAAAACTCTTCTCGGCCTCAAATTGTCAAAAGACATTGCAGACCTGAACCACATCATCACGACCATCCAAGCAGTCAGGTGACGGGATGGCCTCTCCATCAGGGCAAACCCAAGCTGAGCCTCGTGACCAAGTGCTCAAGTGAGCTCTGTATACCACTTCCTCTGTGTGAGGGCAGATCACACTGCTCAGATAGGAGGTACAGCAATACCCATCCCAGCTCACAGAGTTGGGAAGCAAAGCTTTCCCAGGAGTTCAGTTCTTCCCATAATGCCCCAATTATGGGTGAGATTCAGTCATGACTGTAGCTCACAAACTAATCTCAACAGGAGAATGTTTCTGGCAGGTGCGAGCTCAAGGAGTAACTGATAAGAATGGATATTACACTTGATATTAGTCAAAAGGTTTTCACAGCATTGTTTTTTTGAAAGCGCAAGGGCAGGCAGTAACAGATCATCCTCCCACCCCCTACCCTCTTAGGGTGGAGGGTAGCTGGGGTAGGGGGGTGCGGGGAGGATGACCAAAGGTGCAGTCAAGGAGGAAGATCTTGAAATAGGCCTCCCAGGCAGCAAGGGAGGGGCTGAGGTGAAGGTACTGTGGGATGGAGTTCCAGAGGGGGGGGTCGGGAGGAGAAACACTGGTGGCCCAAACTCCGATGGTGGAGAGGGCAGGACGGGGCCATGACCCAGTACTTACCAAATGGAGGGAGTGGATGGGTTGATTGGGCTTTAGTAGGTCACAGAGGTAGTGTGAGGGAAGACTGTGGAGGCCTTTAAAAGTAAGGATGAGGATCTTAAACTCAATCCCCTGGGGGATGGGGAGCCAGTGGAGTCAGGAAGGTCGGGAGTGATGGGCTCAGAGTAAATAGTGTATGCCATTGCTGAGCTCAGCGGAGGATTCCCAGGCTGGAGAGAGGCTGGGGGACTGTCCAGGAGTAAGAGGAGATGGGGAGGACGGTAAGAAAGCGAGAGGGAGAATTGGAGGCGAGGGAAGAGGAATAGGGAATGGCAGCTCACGTCAGGAGCGGCAGCCAAAACACACTTAGGGTTAGCACTTAGCAGTGCCAAAGTACATGCAGCTGAGACGCTGCCAATTTGCACTTACAATTTCTTCACCGGTCACGGCAGGTACTGTCCCTGCCAAAGAAACAAGGTCAACTCCAGAGCACTGAACAATTGAGACAAACCACCACATGTAGATTCTGAAGGGCAATTTCCTTTTTTTTTCCCTTTTATAAAATTTGAGAATTTTCTCTCCACCTTCCCTCTACTCATTCACTGGCACTACAGTCGTTTTGTTTGTGGTCTGCTGGGTGTCTGACCCACGCAGAAACCCTTTGCTTAACCCAAACTACTGAAAGTTTACATAAAAATGGATATTTCAGTTTGCTGTGGAGTACTCTCTCTCCCAAGAGCCACAACTGATGGTAAGTTTTTTTTGGGGGGTGGGGGCGCGGAGGGAAGAAAGAGACTGCTGGAGTCTTAAACCCCAGGCTGAGAATGACAAATCTGGAATAAGAAATTTAGAGCTGACAAAATATCTCCATTTGGTGGCAGCATTGCCCACACCCAATTTAGCAGCAAAGTTAACACTCCCAACACCACAGAAAATAGCAATTCCTACTAAACAGTGTTTGTGTGTATCATGAGCACTTACTTTCTCGCATCAGCGCCTCCACACCTCAGGCGCTGACAGCATCACCATACAAGGACGCACACTACACCTCACTAAGCCAGTGTGGGACCTTGGCATCCTGTTTGACCCTCAACTATTCTTTCTACCCCACATCCGTGCCATGACCCGCTCTGCCTTCCCCACCTCCGCAACATCATCTGGCACTGCCACTGTCTCACACCACAGGTCCCTGAGACCCTCATACACACACTCACAACATTCAGGCTCGACTATGCAAACTCCTTGCTTGTCGGCCTCCCAACATCTCCTCCTTAGGCTGCAGATCATCCAGAACTCTGCTGCCCGTGTCCTCTCCCACACTAGGCTCGGTGACCTATCACTCCCATCCTCGCCCAACTCCACTGTATTCCCATCGCACAGAGGATACAGTTCAAGATCCTTATCCTCACTTTCAAAGCCCTCTATCTCCTTGCTCCCCCTACCTCCCTATCAACCTGCTCTCTCTGCTCAGTAGGCTCCAGCCTGCTTCACGTCCCCCACCTCACCTGGTCCACCATTGGCGGGCAGGCATGTCTTCGGCCACTCCACCCTCACCCTCTGGAACTCCATCCCACAGTGCCTCCCCGATCCCCAGCTTGGGTCCGAAACACTGAATGTCCAGTGCCTTAGGACGTCCTCCTGATCTGAAAAGTGCTAAACATTAGAATATACAGCACTCTCTCTTGGTGTATGAGCCGAGACAAAACATGTTCCAGAGCCGTTCGAGCCTTGAAGGTACCACACTCACACACCAGGACCATTGGCTAATCCTCGGGGGAGCTTTACAGTGGAATCTATGCTCCAGCCCATTAAGTTCACAACCACCGAAAGTACCACTTAGTCATCATGTGTCTGAGTTATACTGAAATCCATTGAAAACAAGTTCTTTCAGTACTGCTTTTTATTCTGCTCAATGTCTCGTTTAAAATACCTTATTGGACTTTTAACCCCTCCTCCCCACCCCCCCAGGCAGCACAAAATTGTAATGAAAAAAATCATAGGAAAAATACTTGTCCAGAAATATCAAAGGTCCCAAGGGCTGTGTGTGGGGGGGGGGGGGGGGATATTTCAGTGGGGGAGCCGACACCAACAAACATAATAGGGCAAATGGCTTCCAGTGCCTTGGGATGTCCTCCCGATCTGAAAAGCACTAAACATTAGAATATACAGCACTCTATCTCGGTGTATGAGCCGAGACAATACATGTTCCAGAGCCGTTCGAGCCTTGATGGTACCACACTCACACTCGCACTCGCCCACCAGGACCATTGGCTAATCTTCGGGGGAGTGAGCATTCCAACATTCTATGGCCTGAAGAATAAAGGCAATATGTGATGTGGCTCTGATGGGATCTGTACATTGTTGCTGCGAATTCAAGCAATAAAGATGCAGACGTCAGATACACAAATGTAACCCATTTTATTGGTAATTCAATGCGTTTCTAACATACTGTATGTAGAAAATACTTCAATCAGAAGACAAGCTACTTTGGAAACCAAAGACAATATAACAGTGAATTACAAGATAAAACAGTTTCATCACAATGACCCCCCTTTCCCAGTTTAAAGTTAGTATTATGAACTTTTTTTTAAATAACTATAATCTCTTTTGTTAAATTTATTATTTTTTTACAATAACCTCTACAGTTTTACTGCCAGACTAGCATAGAAAGATCAATCGTTTCTATGAGCTGCCTACACATTACATGTGATAATCACATAGCTATATCAAAAAGTAAGAAACTGCAGTTCATACAAGAACTAGTGTAGCAAATAACATTATACAAACCAGTCAAATAATCTATTATAGCAATATCAATGATACAAGCACGTAGGCTACTAACATTGTGGCATTCGCTACAATCATTCTAGTAAAAAATACTAACGTTCACCCACATATGATTAGCATTGGTAAATGCAGAAACAGACAGCAAAATAAAGGAAACATGCTGCAGCCAACAGTAAATAAAGACACACCTATATGTAACCATATATAAGTCAACCCTAAATATATATAATATATATATATTTTAAAGAGACAGTCCTTTTGCAGCCTACACAGGGTGTTTAAAAAATATCTCATCAGTTTGCTCTACTGGATCAGTTCAACACCCATTCCCCACAGAAGCTTAAATCAAAGTCCTCTAATATATAAAAATACACAACAAATGGCTGCCAGAACTACTTTGGAAGTTACCTGTAATTAAGTTCGGTCTCGATTTCCTTCTGCCCTCTAGTGTCCTTTCACGCGAAAAAAAATCAATCTGCCTTTCTACTGAAGACAGCAGTGACGTGGTTCATTAGATGAGTTAGTCTCACGTCAACCCATGATGTTCAAACAAACCCAGTGCAGGCCTATCTCTTTAAATGGACATTATAGATGCTAAATGACTTACACAGGATACAGATAGCTTCCGTACAAAACAGACAAGTTTTTGTTACTAAATAGTACTAAAGGTGCGCGGACACTTTGCAGGTTCACCAACAGATCAAGTTTGACCTGCGTTTATATGGTCAGAAACCAGCATTATTCCTTGGGCAAATGTTTCCATAAATAAAAATTTTAAAAATGTCCAAAATTTGGCATTTCGCTCCTTTCCACAATAAAATCCCACAGAAAGTTCCCATCGAAGCCCTGTGCTAGAGATCAGATTATCCCTCCCCAAAACAGTTTACACAACCATCCAGAATCTGATATTAAAAAACTCCCTGGTTCATGGCTCTCACCTGGGCATCTAATTGAGCTGCCCATGAAACGGCAGGCACACAGCGTTTAGAGAGGGAAAAACAATGGGCATTACCCCCAATGGCAGAACACAGACGTGTACAGCCCTTTGGCCTCAGTTACTAACCTATCAACACGTGCCACCGGATTTTAAGCCATTTAATAATCTGGCATAAGGATGAACGTCAGCTCAAAATGGCCTTATATTGGGTGACCCTAAATAAGCACTTAAATGCACCAATAAAAAGCACGCAGCAGACCAAAACTATAATATGCCACATCACGCCAATAACTTGTAGTTTCAGAAAAGGCAAGAGTCAGCACTGAGCACATCAGAAATCCTACACGTTGCACAGATGACAGACTCCAGACAATCAAAGGCTCCAGCACCAAAAACAACCCACAGGGGCATGGAATTAGCTCCCATCAGTACATTTGTTCCATTATGATTGGGTGCCAAACTTGTATCTACACAGGACTAAGCTGGACCACATAACAGGGTCAAGGCAACACCTCCAGACACTCTTATACCTTCAACTTCAACAATATTCCTTGAAGTCAAGATTAAAGGTGGTTTGTTGGGGTTCAGAGCTCTGCACACCGTTACCTGCGAGAAGCCAAATGCCAAGGAGGATATCTCTCTCTCTCTCTCTCTCTCTCTCTCTTTCTCTCACACACTTTGTTCCCATTCCGAAAAGTTTCCTTTTGAAACAAATCATTCCAACATCAATTACCTTCAGTCCGCTTGATCAGAACAGGGCGTCAACAACTGGAAACCACACGACATTCCAACCTATGACATGTACATACCTATACGGTGCACAAGATAGAACACCTACTGTAAAGATTGTGCAGAAACAGTAACCTGACCATGTGATGCTGATTAAGTGGCACTTTAGAGCACTTAAAAAGTTGTTTTGTAAAAACAGGATTCTTGTCCAGTACATTTCCATGAACTAAATGATCATTTCTCACTAACTGATTAAAACTGCTCCAAAAAGTCTGCCCACTCCAACAGGTTACAGGATTAAAGGTTTGCTACAGAAACAACCCAACCACCACCGTTTCCTTCCCAGCATTGTCACTGAATCCTGCTACACCAGTGAACAATACACACTTTTCTCTGAGGGCCTTCTACTGAGCACACATCAAATCCTTTGTAACCAGTGCATGAAATGGGGGAGGTGGGGGGAGATACAGAAAGAGAACGACACTAATTAAATGACTTTATAAAAAAAACATTTTGAAGAGAAAGGAGAAGTGTGTGCTGGACGTTTTAAAGACATAGCACTGAGCAGCAGGTTGGATTACATAGCCTCCTGGAATGGCTTGCGGGTTACGACAGACTTTTTAAATGAATTTCCAAGTGTGGGTGGGAATTCTCAGGTTGGTGCGGATATTTTTAAGCCTGGTGATGGGTTTCCCCGTGTGTCAGACACCCGGCTGAAATGTTTTAAAAGAGAACTTTCAATTTTGTTGTGTGATTCCCCCTGATTTCATGCCCTGTGAGGGGAGGCAGAGTAAATGGGCTTTCTTTGGTGTGATGTACATGAGCTTTGCAGGCCATCTACAGAGTGGCCTGCGCGACACCCCAGCCAGGGGCCTCCCAGGGTTAACATAGAACTGCACCGGACGGTCACAAGGAACTGTAGCATCCATAAACTACTTTTAAAAAAAAGTAATAAAAAACACATCTAGGAATGCAAACACCTAAAGCTAATTGCACATAATTTTTCTTGTCCAAAACTCATTAAAAAAACAAAATACTGCACTACCCACACACAAAACACGGTTTGCTCAGCCACACTAAGCAACATAATAAAGGAACAAAGTTAATAAGACAGTACACAGATACATGCAGTTTCACATTCTAACTAGCTTCCTGCATTAAAAGGAGCGGATTATATGTGCCAACTTGGTAATGAAAATTAAAAGCTTCAGAGGAAAAAACAACACTGCTTCAATTTCACTTCCCTTTTTAACTAAAGGGAATTTCAATTAAAATACTCAACTGAATTTTAAAAAGACTAAAGATTAAAAATGATTTAAATTCAGTTTTGACAGCACAATACTCTTTTCCGGTGCTACTTTCCCCCATCACTGTTTTGTACTCTCCAAAAAGTCCTCCAAATACATTTATGCACGAGTCCAACAATTTGCTAACTGCAACAAGTGGGGATTTCTAAAGCACAGTGTAGGAGTATTAATTCAACATACTATGTAAAAATCTGTTAAGGCACTACTAGGGGAAATAACTCATCAAATAAACCCCCACAACATTCACACTTGTGCAAAAACTGAGTCAAAGAACTACTTCCATTCAGAACACATAGGTGCGGGCTTCTGCAACCACTTTAACAATCGCTTTGTTTTGTCAGTGCTGCAACGTTTTTAAAAAGTTCCAAAATGCATTTAATGACACTGCGTGTACATTCCAACACGTTCCAACCTAATTCTTCTGCAAGCTGAGCTGTGTATGTAAAAAAATCCCCTTTCAGGCTGTCAAGGAATTAAAACAAGACTACTAAAATACAGAATTCAAGTATCATAATTGACATTTCATCAACAAGATTGTTGCAGCTAAATCTGTTGAAAGCTCGGAATTACACACCTTTCCTGCTCCTGCTGTGATGGTGCAGAAGTCTTATTACTCATTACAATAAACCAACCAGGCTCTTATGTACAGAGGGTATTGCTCCAGTAATCACCACTGTTTTTTACCCAAACATGGGACAGTGCCACACCTGCTGGTGATTGAAGGCCTTTCAGCAGCCTGTGTGGCACACTACACTCCAGGCAGGACTCAGGCTGGGTTCTGAACACTTCCAGACGCTACTAAGGACACAATTTCATGACAGTTCCTCACTTTTAGGAAGTAGCATTATCAGGAACTGAACAGTGCTCCAAGAGCAGTGATATGCAACACGCCAGCAATCCAGGAGCAGATACGCTTCAGTACATATGCACTCAAGAGCCCACACATGGTGAGAATGCGGTTCTCCTCCACATGAAGGGAATAAATCATGGATCACGTCAAGTGATAACTTAGCACATCTCACAGCTCAGCAGTCACTAACCTCTATGAACGCTCTTTCCCTCCCTCCCCACCCATCAAAATCAGACGTTTCCCAATTCACCCATTGGCTGCACATCCATAAGCAATCACATGATTGCATGCTCCTGATCAACCACCATGAAGATATTGGCAGGTGAAGTTCACAAAGCAAACTGGTTCAAAACATTCACTGAAATAATGATTGAATCTACAGCTTTAAATAAGTTACTAATCCCGCACAGGGGGTAGTTTCAGCAGTATACGGCCATTGGCTGAAAGGTTTAATCCCGACAAAAGCAGCCTTAGCTTTCCAATTCCTGCTTTCGCACGTAATTGCATCCTCTACCGCTTGCACAAACCAATACTGGAAGAAAATTCTGCATTAGTATGCTTTCAAGTTATGACAATATCCTAAAATTGAGACAATTTCGGTTTTGCCTATTTCATAGACAATTGAGTATTGGTTGGAAATTTGGAACCTCTTCTCAAATGCCCAATAGTACCACGAATCAGCAATGTGCCTGAAGGTGTTCATTAGTGAGTTAACACACATCAGGGTTAATCCAGGCTTCAAAGTGCTAGCCAAGCAAACCAGGACATCCATTACTCACCACTGTCACTATGTAATAGAGCTATAAAATGTATTCTATGAACTTCCCACGCTATAGTATTAACACTTTCAGCAGCATAAACCCATTTAAAGTTAACAGATTTATCAGTGTGTTCAGGCGAGAGGCTGGTAAAGAAAAGCAACAATACGTTTAAAACAAACATTAATTTGTCCTTTAAAAATAAACTCCCAAACCATTTTAAAATACATTTAAAATCATGATCTATATCCATCATCCATGGGGAAAAGAAAATGACAGGTTAAAAACACTCGTCTCCTGCACTGCAGATTGCTGAACACGCCTGACCAGCCACCACAGGAGAATTTCGGTCAAATGGAATGAAGTGCACTCCTCCTTCATACAGAATTGGTCTAGATCCCATACAGTAGCACAGCACATTGTGAGTGAGAGATCTACAGGTAAGAATACGGATTTATTTTAGGGCTGAGTGGGTAACCAGTGTAAAGAGCAGGGGCTCTGGAGGCATTAATGTACGACTGGGTGGCAAACTGATGCTGGTACTGGCTAGGAGCCACACTGGAGGCTGGCAGCAGACTGGGCCCCATGCTGACTGGCACCTGGTGGAGCAGGCTGGTTGGGTGAGCTGCATACGTGGCCTGTTGCAGGGCGTGCCGGGAGGAGCCTTGTGGGTTCAGGAGGTGGGCCATGGAGCTGGTGGTCGCCAAGGCAGCTGGGGCGTAGGTATACATATGAGGCTGTCCTGAAAGGTGCGTGGCAGCCGACACTGCAGTCAGGTGAGGGTGAACACCCGGGTGCGAAGGGCTGTTATGTTGGAAAGTGTAAGGAGCCTGAGCCAGGGTGGGTGTCACGTAGGCTTGTTGCCTGCGGGGAGCAGGATTCACACTTCGTTCTTGAGATATGGATCCAGATTGTTGGGCCTAAAAGAAACCCCAAAAAGTTAGCAATTAGCTCCATTTAAAGGTTTAAAAACAACAAGTCCAAGTTCCAAAATCCAAAGACAAGCTTATAAACTTGAGATAATTTAAAGGTTCTGCTGGAACTGTTTGAATACAGGTTTTTGTAACAAAATAATTATAATGGCTACTGTTTACTGGATGTATAAAACTCCAACACATCATTCAGCATGAACTGCAGGCAACACACACAGACAGGCTGCACAACTTCTGTGAAGCAGTCTTGCCAATTGAACTGAAGTAAAATCACTTTCCTTTCATCAATAAAAAAAGGTTTTAGCAAATGGTGCTCTGGTGTCTCCGTCTCCCCAGCAAAACTGTGCAATATTATTACAGCAATAGAAGACTGTGGGACACTGTCGTGCATAAACTGGCTGCCGCATTTGCCCAAAAAATAAAGTCACTCCACATTACAGTATATCCTGTGAAGCGCTTTGAGACGACATGATATGGCACGATATCGAACGCAAGGATTATTATAATAGGAAATTAACTCAAAGGGTGGGGATTGAGTTTTAGAGCGAATGTGACTGAAGAGGTTCCAATTCTTTTATTGAAACAACTTCATTAGCCATCATGCTGTCTCACAAACCATCATATTGGGACATGTTCCTGTTCCATCTTCTAAACCTTGTGAATCTGAAGATTGTGGGTTCACATTGGGACTTGAGCTCACAGTCTAGGCTGACATCCCAGGGCAGGACTAAGGAAGTGCTATGTAAGGTCAGTGTTACAGATGAGACAATAATAATAATAATAATCCTTGCATTTGATATAGCGCTTTTCACGTCGGGAGGACGTCCCAAAGCGCTTCACAGAACACACTGTAAAGTGAATTGACTGTATATTTGTGGGCAAACGCGGCAGCCAATTGCGCACAGCAATGTCCCACAAACAGTCGTGGATTGAAAATGACCAATAAGGACCAGTTTGCTTCTGGAGGATTTGGAAGATCTCCAAAGAAAAGTTATATTTTCTACACATCCTGGTTAAAACAAGACTGTCACACACCTGACTGAGGTTCAGGGGCTGCAGAGTGCTGATGGCGGAGCGCTGCTGCCGGTACATGGTTGGCATGGTGGTGTTTGAGGAATGCCCATTCATAGCCAAGCCCGTTTTAGCCTTGTAAACGTTTGAGAGAAAGCCTGTGGGTGAAACAAGAGAATAGTTGACAGACTTTTACAGGTTAAGCCATCCTATAGTACCCCTCACCCCTCAATGACGCTCATTCTCAGCATCACTTTTCTGATTACCCAGCAACTCTCAATACTCTAGGGACCTCTCATCTCCATTCAAGCAGCAGGCAGATCTGACAAGAGGGGACAGAGGAGAGATACTGACAGCAATAGCCACCTCTCCTCCTCCCTTGTAACTCCATACAAGGGGTCCCCGTGCTGCAGGAGGGAAGATGGAAAATGTGCATTAAAGCAAATCAGATTGTGTGACCATCAGATTCAACCTCCTTTCCCCACCCACATGAAAATGAAACGAGAACGTGGGTGTGCCCGCTGAAGTACACCACAACCGATTGTCATAGAGCCTTCAGGTGGAGAAGGACATGTATGGTCCAGTTTGGCATTTATATATATATTTTATAAAAATGTGAAAAAGTATAAATTCCTAGATTGAGGGTTACATTATACATAACCAAATAAATCTTTTTCCATCTTAGACTAAATTTGAGAACAAAGATGAAGCAATAGAACTACAATTCTGAATGCCAGGATAAACTAATGCACATTTTACCAGGTTCAGTTGGTGGTACTATTTCCTCAAAGTCAGAAGGTTGAAGATTCAAACTCCATGTCAGGACTTTGAGCTCCCAGTAATAGGCTAAAATTCCAATGCACTGCTGGGACACAGCAATGCATTTTAGAGAATGCATGTTAACCCGAGGTCCATCTGCCTGTTCGGGTGGACTTTAAAGATTTCATGGTGCTGTACAAAAACAGAGAGTTTCTCAACAACTCCCCAGAGAAAATGTTTCATTCACTTCATGGTTGTTTGTGGGGTCTTCCTGTGCACAAATTGGCTGCTTTGTCTGTCTACAAATTGTCACTGCACTTTACAGAAAACTAATGTGAAGAGTTTTGAGACATTGATGTGAAAGCGCAAAGATTACCTGACAAACTGTTGTTTTCTACAATGCTATCGTTGACTTGAGTCTTCAGAGGGGGTACAATGATAGTCCGAGAACTTGCACTATGACCAGTATCCAAAACATTTTTGCAAACATCTAGGAGGCTGCTGCTACCGTGAACTGCTCCGAACCGCTCGGAGTAAGGACTACTGCTACTGGACGAGTCAGACTCTAGTGAATCGTGGACTGTGACGTAACTGATAACATTGGATCGTGGTTTCGCACCGGAGCTGAGGGAGAGAAACAGTTACTTTGTGCAGATCACGTTTCACCAAGAAGGTTAATATTGTCTGATTCTCCAAACTTCTTTTATCTAAACTGAGAGAACTGTTCCAGAATCCAACGTATTAATGCCCTCAGTCCTGCTCTATTACCACAGTCGGTCCCTGATGCTGGTTGTCAGCAAGTTACACCAATGCACAAACAGCTTCCAGAGCAGAATTTGAGCGCTCGCTGGCACAGTCGTGTTTACTTGAAAAGAAAGCAAGAAAAATCACTTACTTTTCAGAATTTTTAAGAAACATTTCCTATAGCTGCCAGACTACTATCTTACAATGTATTTACTGCTTAAACCTAAACTAATTACTGCTTAAACCTAAACTAACTAATTAAAACAGCTCTCCTTACAGAGCCATTACAACTGCAGAATTAGCCCAACATCATTTATTTTGGGTGCATTCTCTGTTAATTTTGCGTACTTTACAACCTCATTATGCGTCCTATCATTTATAACCAGAATGCGTTTGCTTTTAGTTTTTTATATTTTTAAACTTAACTTTTTTTAAAAAAAACAAAGTGGAATCCTGTAGCTCAGTGGTTAGAGCACTCGCTTTGCAAGCGAGAGACCTGAGTTCAATTCCAGGCAGAGGGCGAAACCTTGGGCAAGTTTCCTTACTCCACACAGAACCTAATAATAATCCCTCCAAAACAAAACAATAATAAATTGGTCATTTTCAATCTACGACTGTTTGTGGGACATTGCTGTGCGCAATTGGCTGCCGCGTTCGCCCACAAATATACAGTCAATTCACTTTACAGTGTGTTCTGTGAAGCGCTTTGGGACGTCCTCCCGACGTGAAAAGCGCTATATCAAATGCAAGGATAATTATTATAAAATCTGGATTAAGAAAAGAAATTTGGATTGTCAGATCCAATCATTTCACAGTTCTGCTCCATCAATAACAATTCTTTAAAAAACTACTACTAATAATTTGGTCACTCAACTATTTGTGGGACACTGCTGTGCGCAATTGACTGCCACATAATATAGTCAATTCACTTTACAGTATATTCTGCGAAGTGCTTTGAGACGCCTCCAAGACGTGATAAGACAAATGCAAGGATTATTTATTACAGAACGTAATGAATGTCCTTTTTTTAATGTAATTTGCGGTGCCTCCATGTCACTCTTTACACTGAATAATGTCCAGAGTTTCAGGCACGGGTACAAAACATTCCATTGTTGTTCTGAAATTCAGCCAAAGTTCCTCTCCCTAGAATCCTCGATGGAGATGTTAGTTTAAAGGACAGGATCAAGCCAGACTCCAATACCCTGCAGGGTCAAATTACCTGAAAGCTCATGAATGAGCAATGGACACTTGAGAAAGTTTTGAGATGATCAACGAAAAAGTCAAAAACAGTTTGTCTGAGGGGGCGCGGAAGGGGTGACAAAAATAAAAACAAGTCAGTAAGAAAAAAATCATTGTTTTCATTAAAAAGGCTTTGTATTTAGAACCAGATTTTGTAGGTGAAGATAACACAGAAAGTGTCTGAAAAATTACCACAGAAAAAACAGGCTGTAGCAGCCAAGTGTTCATAGAGATTTTGCTCTTTCATCCTTAGACATTGTGAAGCAGAATTCACCAAGCACCACATTGTTTTGGGGTCAGTCAGGTATCTGACACATGTGGAAACCCAATGTCACGCTTAAGAGTATCCATACCAAGTTCCTCCTATACATGGAAATTCCAGAAATGTTTGTGGGATGGATTGCGCACTCTCTCCATGAAGGGACGTATCCTGCTTAATCAATTCTGGTAAGTTTATCCGACTGATACTTTGTGGGACAGTATTCCTGCCACGAGGATCCCTGAATCCAGATCCAAAACACAAATCCCAAAAGATGAGCTCTTTCCCAGCCCAGGGTGCTCACACATTGTGCTACATTTGAAGAAATGTAACTTGTTAAAATAGCACAATTCTACACTGGGTAAGGATTCTAACCAGATCCACCTACCTCCCAAGCCTGTACTTATTGTCTTCCTCTTCATCAGTGTCACTGCGGATGGTGATGACACTGACAGCCGGACTGGGTGTGTCAGGAATCACAATGGGTTGCCGCTGGTTATCGTGTGTTGTGCTGGTGTATGGGGACGATACACTGGCAGGGCTGTTCTGAACCACCATGTACGTCTGGGAGGGAGTGATGTCCAACACAGAGAGATTCCTGGCAGAAGATGAGGTCACTGCTGGTTTATACCTAGAGCGGTCGGTGGGGAAAAAACCTTGAGGTTGACACTTTGCTGACAATTCTGAACATTAGCTAAGGCTAATTTAACACACAAACTGTTGGCGATGCTCAGTTGTACATTCAACATTTGAAAGGAAGATAGTTACATGCGTTAACCTTTTAAAATTACAGCAGAAAGATTAGGCCTGAAATATGAAGATTCTTACTCTGTACTTGTAACTGATCTTATCATCCAGTTTCTTCTAAAAGCTTGTGATACAAAACTGTAATTCGTGCACAGATTTATTTTCATAAAGCTGCACTGAACACCCACTTAAAGGTTAAACAAAGGTTGAAAGGTTGTGGTTGAACAAATGCTTACACACGTGTTCATCCACAAAATACAGTCACTGCACTTTACAGTTTAGCCCATGAAGCACTCTGAGACATCCTCCTGGCGTGAGAGGCACTATACCAAATGAAGAGTTATTATTGATAGAATTATTAAGATACCAGTTATTTCATAGAGCTTCTATCTGCTTTTGAAAATAGGCGCAAGTGTAAAGGGTCTGTCCAGTGACCTTTACTGCCCTCTATACAGAAAGCCACACATGGAGATGGTGATTCACTCTCGCGTCCTGTACCGTATCTCCTTCAGTAATACACTTGAAAATCCATTATTTAGTCCCTAAATTACCAGAGGTCCAGGTGAAGGAAGCCTCTATCTTATGCAAAGTAGACCTACCCACTGCTAGGTCCATGACAGCATCTTGCAGTTTCTTACAGAGTCCAGCTCTCTGGGTTCAATTACCATCTATTCCAGCCGCTGATTACTCTTGGTTACATCTGTCCTAAGCTGGTCTTTAACTTTAAACAAGTGCCTTCTCGTCCTGTTGCCTTAACATATCTGAAATGATTCCAGATTTACTCTATCCAGTTAAATATCTTGGATACCAATTTTATTTGAAGCCAGAGCTCAGTGTCGATCATTAAAGCTGATACCTATAATGCTGGGGCTCAGTTTTAATACTCTTCTCAGATTTGTGTCTAGGGCCTGGAAGGGCCCTTACTTAATGTTACAGCAACCAGAGCCCCAGATTTTACCTGTTGTAAATAGGAGAACATTTTGTCGTAAACAAATTTTGTCGGGCAGTATAGGTCACTGGACAGAACTGTGGACAATTCTGAAACTCACTTTGAATTTGGAAGCCGTTTTTCCAGTTCTTAAAAGAACCAGCTTCACAATTACAAAATAATTTTTCACAGCTCTGCACCATCTTAAATTTTAAGACAAAGTGACAAGCTAAGATCTCTAAGGACGTTTGGCTCAGAACGGTATGTACAGCTCAGGGCAGCCAACAAATCCCAGTTGCAAGAGCTCGTACTCATAAACCCAAAATCAAAAGGAAAAGCTTCCAGAGAACAGCACCTCTAGCCTGAATTTCCTCTTCAGCTTTTTATCAGTGCGGCAGAGACCTTCAGAGCAGGTTATTAAGAGCCAGCAACAATGCTTGCGAGACACAACTGCTTAATCCAACAACAGCAACTTGCACTTACACAGTGCCCTTCAAGTGTCTCAGAGCGTTTAGCTCTGGTCCAGGTCCTCATATGTGAGGGGCTTTGGCAAAAAAATACACACTATTGGTTGTAAGGACAATTTGGCCTCTTTTCAGCACAAGCAGAGCTCTCTATCCCTCCCATAGCAGTTTCTTCCTTTTCGACTAAAAATCCACCTGGTTTATCCTGGAACCTTTTCCATGCAATTCTTGCACATCATAAAGCAAAAAAAAGTTTGCAGAACTTGGAACTGATTGCCATCAATTACTAAACTATGACTTGCACTTATATAAGTTACATTTGTATAACACCTTTCACATCTGGAGGACATCTCAAAGCATTGACTGGCTGGGACCCCAAGCTGGGGGTAACGCAGTGGAAACTGAACTACGGTGAGAAATTGGGGGGGGGGGGGAGGTGGAGAGAGGAGGGAAGTGACCAAAGGTACAATCAGGGTTAAGTTTCTGAAAGGATTTTTGAAAGCAGAGGGAGGAAGTGAGGCAGAGTTATTTTGAGAGAGTTCCAGAGGAGCATAGCAAAGTAGCTGAAAGCTCAGCTACCAATTGTAAAGGGATTTGTAGCAAACCTCAGCGGAGGGAGTGGGCAGCAGTGGTGCTGCAGGAGGTAGCAGAAGCCAATGGACTCGGGTGAGGATGGGCCATGAGCTTCCACAGTCTAGAGTGGGAGATGATGTGGGCTGCAGAATTCTGAATAAGCTGGAGCTTGTGAGGGGTGAGATGGGAAGGATGGTGAGGGTAGACTTCAAGAAATGAGGTGACAAAAACACAAATGAGAATTTTGGCTGCGCTGGGGATGGGTTAGGGACAGAGGAGGCCATGTTTCAGCAATGGAGAAAAGCAGACTTGTTTAGGTATAAGAAGAGCTGAGAGTAGAACAACATGACAAGACTTCACATTGACTTCATAAGCAATGAAGGAGAGCCAGAGTCAGAAGAGGAGACACTGTGGCAGCCAAGCAGGGTGGCTTCAGGTTTGTTGACACTCAGTTGGAGACTTGCCATCCGGCAAGTTAGGCTCACAGTGGTCCTCGGGTCAAAGGTGGTGGCAGAGACATATATATGAAAGTTGACGTCCACGTCTGTGGATGATATCATCAAGGGAGAGCGGTAGATGAGGAAAAGGAGGACCAAGGATAAAGCCCTGAGGAACACTGGAAGTGCCCATGCAGGGCACAGAAAGAGATGTTTTATGTGAAGACAGAAAATGTTGGGGCTGGTAAGAATGGAACTATGGAGGAAAGACAATGATGAAGGTGGGGCGGGGAAGGTCAAGGAACTACAGGGAGACTTAACAACAACAACTTGAACTTATATAGCGCCGAGCAGGGGGAGGGGGGGAGGTGGCCGTAAGCACAGTTGAAGAGGAAGGTTTTCAGGCAGGACTTGAAAAAGGAGAGAGGGGACAAGGTGGAGGGATTGAGGGAGAGACAGAGAGACTTAATCAGACAGAGAATATTATCAGTGGCTTTGACCAGTGTATATTATGTACCTATGCAAGTTTCATCAGAACTATTTCCATCTTGTTTGGAAACTTATCTCTATTATCATAAGGAACCACCTTTTGTATGTTAGAATTTGCAGTTCACTGAAGATCTGGCATTCCCAGTGTCACTGGCTTCTCAGGTTTCTTATAACTCCTGTCAGTCTCAGGAGAATTACAGCACACAGAATATGGAGATCCAGTTTACCTTGCCTTCAATTTTATGTTTAAAATGTTTTTAAATCGGTTGAAACATTCACAAATTAGTACTGTGCTGAGAAATAATTAAAAATAATCAGTTTGAAATTCATCACGGGAAGTACCTGAATTCAGTGATTTATATTTATTTAAAATACCTTCATTGGGTCAGACTTCGAATAAATTGAGAGATCCCTCGAGTATGAAACACGAATGACCTGGGTGTGCGGAGGCAGAAGCCCATTCCCCATTACCGTTCTCAAACCAGACGCCCTGAAGCCAGGTCACAACTTCCAGCTTGTAGTCTGTCTGTCAGGATCCCAGTTTACTCCAGCTTCAATGAAGCCAAAATCCTACCAACCAGCCACAAACACAAGATTGAATGCGCTACCGGGTTGAGGATATCAGCATCAAGAATGGAGTTGGGAGTGAAAGTGTATGGGATTGGGGCTGAAGGTTCCTCCTGCACACCTGCATAATTTATAATTGAATTTAGGCCATAAGTTATCCCCAGTTTAAGGTGATTGGCTTACCTTGCTGTGTGCTGCTGCCGGCTCCTCTTGGAGGATGTGGTGGTGGAGCTTTGCTGTGGGCGGACCACGTGGGCAACGCCAACATTCAGGGGCTGTGCAGCTGCTAAAGTCACATGACTAGCCAACAAAGATGGCTGCTGCACGATGGCATTATATTGGCCTGTATGTGCGTTTCTAAGAGGGAAGAAAACTGATCTTAGTGAAAATAGTCAGCAAACACACCGTTAAACCGGTGTTTTTCAAAGTTCTTTACAGAGCTTCTACGAACAGCAAGCACAGATGCTTGCACAGTATTATATTAATAGTCTGGCTTGACAGGGAGCATTCTCACTTGAGTCAGAAGGTCGTGAATTCAAGCCCCACAGTGGGGCTTGAGCTCATAGTCCAGGTCGACAATCCAGTGCTGGAGAAGCACTGTATTGTTCTTTGAATGAGATGTTAAAGCTGGGGTCCTGTCGGTTCAGAAGTCATCAAAGATCCCAAGGCTCAATTTGAAAAGAGAAGGGAGTTTCTCCCTCTTGGCTAACATCCACCAGACAAAGGTTGGTCATTCATTTCATGGCTATTTGTGGGACATTGCTGTGTGCATATTCGCTGTTGTATTTGAACTATAATAGTCACTATACTTTGCAGTAAATCCGGTGAAGCGCTTCAAGACATACTCCTCATGTGAAAAGCGCTGGACTAAACACAATGATTATTATTCCACATTTTCATAGCCTTTTGTGTAAAAAAATAACATTCAAATATAATGGATTTTGGACAGTCTTGGTTGTTAAAACACACCACCGAGCTCCAGAAGAATCCAAAGGAAGGCCAGATTGCTTACGCTGTAAAATACAAACTTAATTACACTGAAAGGAGAAGCACTCTGGACAACAAATGGCAAATGAAATGGAGCAGGAGATTTCAGCTTTACTTCACGCCTTGTCAAGCACACACACTAAACAAAATATACACCTCACTCCTATCCATAGCCCCAATTACCAGAGATGAAATGGGGAAAAAACAAAAAGGACATTCAATTGTATTTGCTTAATAAGAAGTGTCTGGAGGACTGAGGAGGGAGGGCTGCTATACGATGAAGCCAAGATGCAATAAAGAAAAAAAATCTCCCATGAGGGATATTACATTTCTAGACTTTTAATAATTTAAAGTATCGTTTCGAAAACCTAATTTGCACAAAGAGCATCATTTACTTGATGTTAATAGTTAGAACATCACTGAAATAGCCTCTAATTAAATCTCACTACTCTGATTCCCCTGAACAAGGCCAGGCATCTTGTCCAGAAGTCAAAAACCTGATGAGGCTGTCTGGAGGGCGCCTTGGCCAGCAGTGAGGAATGGTTACTAGCCTAACTTGCTGAGGCTGCTCATAACTAGTGTTACTCATCGGCCTTGCTTACATAAATTTGTTATACCTCACGTGGTGCTCATATTAACCATAAGAAGAAAGTCATAAGGTTTATTAACACCTTCAATGCTTTTACCACCAATGATTGGATACAGTGAGCAGGATCTGAGTGGCAGGGGACAGCAACACATATAGAGTTTGTATCAAACGCGAAGCTACCCACTCAGTCCTCAAGATGCCATCTCACGTGAAAATGACCAAACCAGAATAATATCTTGAATATTCCTCTTTATCTACTAGATCGTACACGGGTATGTACTTGTAACCAAAAATGAAAACTGCCAGCTGCAATAGCTCAATTCGATGGATTTGTCACAAATATGCAGTGAGTTTTTCAGATCTGACCTAAAACCATTCACAACAGTCGGGAAAATATTGTAAATTCCCAGCTCTTGACATTTAAAGGTAATGTGGTTCAGTCAGGTTACAGTAAACAAGGCAATAAAAAGCAATAAATCCTTCTAAAGTTGCTCAGCTAGTGGGTAGCCTGGAGCCTCTCTCCATACACTGTTATTTTAAGAACTTCACAAATCCTCCTACCCCGGTGAAAACAACCCAAACCATACTGCAATGCAATAATGTCCTCCTACTCAAACTGCACCAGAGCTGGCTCCCAGTACGAAATTGCTATCTGCTTGATAGAAACATATGAAGCTAAAGTAATACGAGGATTCAGTCTTTGCACAGCTTTTGCCAAAAATACACTTTATATTTACTGCAGCTTTCATGTCACCGTAAACTAGGAGGTTTTGTTTTGCAACAGAAGTGAGTTGGATTAGCAAGAGTTATTCCCACAGTGCAATAAACTTGAACCATGATTCTGTATTGGACCAATGTGACAGAGTCACACTGTTTCCCTCTTCTGCATCCTTTATTTTATCATATTTTGTGCCTAAACAACTAACTGCAACACCAAGGCCAAAGCCCTTCAGTGAAGTCACAACAATTCCTGAAGCACCAACCACGTTATCAAGTAAAATACTACACAGTCCCTAAATAGTTAATAAAACTGCGATAGACACCCTTTGCCAAAGGAAACGAATTGCTGAGTTACGATGGGTCTCCTTTGTCAGGATACTTGCCTCCATTCTGCAAGTTGCTGAGTGCTAGTCATTGTTTCTGGTATCACAGTGGCGTGCTGGACTGGGTTATGGACAGCCACTCCAGGCAACTGCTGCCAAGCTGACGGCAAAAGGATTTGCTGGGTTCCTCCAGGCCACGCCTGCTGCAAACAGAGAGAGATTGTCAAGATTGACACACCTCAGGGCACCGTCCCCCCCCCTCAAGAGAACACAAAGCGTCAAAGCTGAAGACCCCACACAGCTGGCAAGAGAAGCACAATGGTAAAACAAAGATCTGCCATGTTAGAGTCACACAACACCTCCCTCCAAAGCCAATACCTGCACAGGACAAGGCATTACAGTTTAATGAGAGAAAGAGAAAGTGAGTATTCCAATGCCTTTGCAGCTCTGAAGCAGAAACATACATTTGGATATTCTGTGCGATGAGCCATTCTGCAGGAATGCAAACACACAGACACAGCGATCTCTTCTAAGCAGGTTCATGCCAAGCAGCAAAGGGGGGAAACGGGATAGGGAACATTCTAACCAACCTGCGATCTGAGAAAGCAAAATGCATGTGGTCACTGGAAGCGACTGCAGAAATTGCATGATCCGTAAGAAAAAAAGGGAGACATGCTAGCACAGTTTTAATTCAAGACTACAAAAAGGTAAGTAGCATATCTTTGATTCAGCTACAATATTTTAGCGTTAAATGCTGGAATTATCTAGGCACTGTTTTTGCCATCAGGATCAATAACAAGTCAGTTTTTTTCTGTCTGATGTTTTGAATACTTTTATTTGTAGAGTACTAGGAAGCAATCTCGGAAGTGTTAATTACTCTGCTGAATGGTTTGAAGGAACCGAATAAAAGAAATGAAAGGATCAAATTGCTAAAGAACCCCAAGTTGATGAGCATAATAGGATTCAGATTCTCAGAGTCTGCAACTCCTCGCATATTATTTTCTCTTTTCTCCCCATGTCACAGCTTAACAGTTACAAGTTTTTTCTTCAAAAAAATGAAGATAAGTCACAAAGATTTGCACACAATCTTTGGGGTTACTATATAAAAGGAGATATTGATGGAGACACCTTTCAGTACAATCCTCCCAAGAAGGGTAAGTAGGCTGTCAGTCACATATGGGCCTAGTAAATTTATGATTCTGTTTAAAGATTACCGAGCTTCAGCCATATTGAAGGTGTCAGACATCAGCTCTATAACTTATATGGACTGATGTAAAAAGCCAGCTATCAAGCCAGAAAATATAGATATCTATCCATTCAAGAAAGAACTAAGGGACCTGTAGATAAAACAGGATAATCTGGTTGCTCGATTTGGAATGCAACTTGCAGGAATTTTTAATGGGATTCTTTAACTAGAGTCTAAAGTGGGATTGTGTTTAACTGGAAATATGTCACTCCAAACTGCAGGAATTCTCCATATCCGAGCAGTGTGCCTCCACGTACTGGTGTGATCTAGGCCAGTTACTAGAAGGAATCCCCATTTGAGACTTGGGAGTCATTCAGGAATCCCAAGAGAAGGATGCAAGTTATTTACAGTTTAGCTCACCTGGTTCCTAACAAATTCTATAATTTTATCAAAGATTCAAGTGAGGAGTGTATGAACATTTTAGTGAGTGTCTCGATGTGTACAGCAGTATGTGCAGAATTCATATTAAACGGGTAATGTCTTCATGGGAAAAAGTACTTCACGTGTTACTGTGCCAAAGAACCATCAGTGCTATCAAAATGTTCAGTGACTATCCTCTCCAGACATAGATGGGTTTCATGGAATGTGCTGCTTTGAAGTGTTACATAGGCCAACGTGGTAGCTAACCAGATCCATCAATATCCTATAAATAGCACCGATAAATGCCAAACTTTTTTTTAGTGAATTTGAGGGATTGAAGGATATTGGACAGGACCTATACACAGATTGTTCCTCTTCTTCAAAATAGTCTGTGGGATCATTGAAGTCCACTTGAAGCACCAGAATCAGCAAATAGAACATTGGTTTAACATTTGGTGCACAGGATGGCATCTCCAATAATGTTCTAAACTATTACTGATACTGGATCTGTTGAGAGTTCCAGCCCTCTAACACCAAACTGTTTGAAATAACAAACAAGAAGAATTTATGGAGACTAACCATTCCATTTAAGACAAAAACAGAATTTGGCCAAATCGATCGTCCACATCAATCCCAACTTTTCATCAAAGCACTATGCTGTGAACAAGACTAGTTAATGTTTGCAGTCTTCACTATGTGTTGGATATTATCAATTCAGATTACAATGGTACCATCAGACCATGTCAGCAGTCACTATTTGCTGAAATGCACCAATATGAGACTAAGGAATTCAATAAAGCGCTCCGAGATGCCGTCCAGCGTGAAGGCTGCTATATAAATGCAAGCTGTTGTTGTTACAAGGCTACTTGCAGACCTATAGAATATGGTGCTGTAGAGAGTTTGAATGGGGGAAAAGAAATGATCAAAAGATCAAACATATGGGCAAGACAAATTGTAGTTTACAATTTAAACAAAATAAATTCAGAATTAATAAGCTGCGGGAAAGTAAAATCCTTCAGGCTAGTAACCAAAGCACAATGAAGTGAGTAAAATATCTGCCTTTATAGCAAAGTATGGGCAAACTTGAAATAACTGAACCTAGGGAAAGGGCTCTTCCAACAAAGGTGATTCCCACACAGAGTTCCCAATGATGTCTAGTCAGTAAGGAAAAGTACCAGATAAAGAGAAAACAGATAGAAGTCAGCCTGGCACAAATTCTAAGGCTGCTTTAATAACACTGGCAGAAGCTCAAAGCACTCCTCCTTTGCTAGCCAGCAACTGGTATGTTAGGAGCTGGACAGTAGAAAAAGGATAACAACATTCATGAAATCCAAGCACTGCAGCGGTGGACAGGCAAACGGGGGTGTAATTCATTCTTCAGGATGTGAAAGTTAGGCCTTAGCTCTACTTCCAGATTCTACTATTGTCAGCAATGGTGTATTAGACATTCACAGTCCCTAGGAAATTTGGGGGTTCTACTATCCTGTCACCCTCTCCGCCATCCCACCCCCCCTCCTCTCCACGTTAGAACTCAGTCCAGTGTCGAGTAAGTTGTACAAAGAAGACTGTTCCTCTTCTTCAAAATCGTTTGTGTATTCTTTAAAGTCCATCTGAATAATCAGAATCAGCAAATAGGACATTGGTTTAACATCTTTTCCACAGGATGGCATCTCCAATAATTTTCTAAACTATTGCTGGTGCTGGATCTGTTGAAAGTTCTAGCACTTTAACACCAAATTGTTTGATATAATTAAGCAGAATGTAGGGGGACTGTCCTCTTCATTCAAGACCAGTATTCGGTATTAATCTTTCACTGTTGATAAACATTTGGCACCTCTAATCTCGCTATTCAAAATCAATCGATGTGTAACAATTTTGAACTCTCATATACACATCAGACAATTCCTCAAATGGTCAATAATTCATATAATACAGTACAATTGTCAGTGATCGTGAAGGTTACTTTTTTCCATCAAGTTACAAAACCAGAGCCTTTCAGAAATGCTGAGTGCTTTGATCCCACTTACAAACCATTTCATCAGTCAGATTTCTCAAAGGGAATAAGATAGAAAAGACGTCTAATGACGTGGAGAAAAAGGTACACAATGACACATGCTGCCGTTCCTCTGCAGCAGCCTCAGAGGAGCATCTGTTAGTGCACAGGATCACACCAAGTGGGAGCATTTACCAGTACTGTGGTCGTCTGGTCGACCAGCGCAGGCCGGCCGGCTGTGCAGTTCAGGGTAAAAGGAACCGCATACTGCGGAGCAACAGTGGCAACGTGAGGATGTAGAGTGGCCACCATCAGCGGTGTGCAGCTGCCCTGTAAAGGGGGGGTGGGAGTCAGTTATATGGTACAGTAGTTCTTCACTTGCAGTGTCCCTTTCGACACCCTGAATAGTCTGAAAATCGCATATGATCGTTGGCAAAAGAAATGTAATAAAGGCAAATAGTCTGCATTAATTAAATTTAGAAACTAAATACAGAAACTTGGTCTTTCAACATACCAAAACAACCTCAACACCATCTGTTTCAGTCAGATTCAAGGCTGGGCCCCAAAACAGGGGGAAAGAGAAACAGAAACTAGAACACTGCCACCCAGCTCACTGAAGTTCATTTGCAAACCCAAGAGAAAAAGTAAAGCCTCGCTTGGCTTATTTTGAAAACAAATATAGGAAACTGGGCGCGGTGTTAATATTTGATGTTCATCGGATTTATAGTACAGTAGCTTTGAGACACATTCTAGTCAGGCCTTTAAAAAAGGGACACTGCTAACAAAAGCAAAAACAGTTTTCATCATAGTTTTAAAGAACCACTGCCAAGCTAAGCTATGGATTACCATAAACAGGAACAGGTCATCTTTTGTTAAATGGATGCTTCGCATTCTGTTTATAAGTTTTGAAATAAATCTTGGATATCAGCAGGACAGCACTCCTCCATGCAAATCTCAAAATCTTAGACATAAAACTTTCTCCCATTAACCTTTAGCATCTGGCTTTAAAGCTATGATGAGTTCAGCATTTATAAAAATATTATGAACACTGTTAAAAAAAATCCATATTCCTAGAGAAACAGAGAAATTCATTAATACATTTCAGATCAGACACACCAAGTGGCATTGATGTAATGAAAGCTTTTGTTCGTAGAAGACCAAGTTACATGAATTCCGATGCTTCATTCTGGAAGACAGCTCTGTACTCGTGTATTCAAGATCTCAGTCCGCATTCCCATAAGAGAGATTTTTACTAACCCACAGGTATACGCAGAACCACAAAATACAAACAGTAAATTAACTGCAGCCATGCAAATTGGGTTTTAAAAGCTTTGAGTGGGCAACTAGTGTACTGTTAACAGGTCTTGACCAAGGGTTTGTGTCAAACAACTATAGAAACAACTTTAAGTCAAGTTTACCGTATTTACATCACCACGTGTCTGCAGAGACACATTTGTACAACAATAAAGAAACCCATTGTGAACGAATAAGATTTTAGGTATATGTGATACAAAACATCATGTGCAAAAGGTTGTTAAACTGTTCTTTCACACCTTAGTTTGAACTAACTGATGGGTGTGGTGCAAATAAATTGGTTTTAAGTTACGTGAATTACACAAAAAGACTTCCAGATAAAACATACTGTAAGTAGCATTAACGAATCAATCTCATTCACAGAATAATGCAGTCATCAAGTCACCAAAATCGGAAGGTTTCATGTTGAGTTTACAAACAGAAGCCTTTAACTTCTTATGTTTGCACCAGTAAATGTCCTAAACAATGCAGAACTTCAGTGAAACAATGTTAAATTACTGAAATAGTGAGAAAAACGTCAGGTTACCACACACAGAATGATCCATGTACAAATCAAGGTCAAAGCAAACTGACAAATCATTCTCCTCAAGTTTATCTGTACTTTCAATCCGACTAGTTCACATATTTGAGATTCAACTAAGTTTCTTTCCTCCAAAATAAAAGGTTTGCAGAAATTTCAATTAATAATCTTTTGCTTATTTGTGGAAAAACTTGGCAGCACTGAATCAAAATTGGAGCTGATACATCCTTGTTACAAGGATTTAACCGGCTTAGGCTACGTCAGCAAAAATTCTGCCATCATAGCTAAGGTTTGAGAGTTCCTATTTACCACATAATTCAACTAATTCTGTACAGATGCACTCCATTTTGACTACATTTGACATGTACTACAGTCAGATAGTTGTGCAGATAATGGATAGTGCCATCGTGCCAGAAATTGATTCATGCTACCAAGATACGGATTTTTCAATAAAAAAACTTGTGGGGGCAGGGGTTGGGGAAGAGTGGTTGGTCCTGAAGAGATTATACATTTGGCGTACCCAACGCTAATTAAATGACAAACAGGAATTATACTATTTTGATTTTACCACATAGTGAGAATAGAAACTAAAGGTAATTATCAGTTCTGATCAAACACCACTTGCCTAAATTGAGATAATGGTGCCAACTTAGCATCATGTTAAGTGGCTGCAATTAATGATTAAAATCTAATTCAACTGAATTCTTAGCGAAGAGATGAGCAACAGAACTAGTCCATTACACTTAAACTTCTGCATTTCAATAAATCAATTTAAACCACAATTTGGGCTTTTGATAGTATTGAAAAGCAATTTTTTTAAGCATTCATCAAAACAGACCATCCATGACAATCTATACAAGAAAACAAGTTTAAAACTAGTGGATAATAATCTCGAATACTCCCAGAACTAATTGTTACATTTGTTCCCCACCATCGTTTTTGCAATGGGACTTGATCTCTGTACATTTATAAATGATAGGCTCTGGAACTTCATCCCCCAGTGCCTTCGCCGCTTCCTCCCTTTCCTCCTTCAAGGCCGGTCTCAAGACCTTTCTCTTTGACCGTGCCTTCAGCTCCCCTCTCGACTCTCTACCCCCTCCTCGCTCCCTCCCTTCCCTCCCCTCACCCTGACCATTTCCCCCCTCCTCGCTCCCTCCCTTCCCTCCCCTCACCCTGACCATTTCCCCCCAATGCTCGGGTCCTGACCCAACTGTACAGCGCCTTGGGACGTCCTCCCGACGTGAAAGGCACTCTATAAATTAAATCTTGTTGTTGTTGATACAAATGCAACTGGAGGATTCTAGTTTGAGGTTCATGCAAACCTGTACATCACAATGGAAGCAGCAGAACATCCAGTAGCATTGACGTGGCTTTAACCTGTCCAGCGTGGACAATGAATAGTCTAAAGGTGCATTGAGTTAGAAATTTTGAGTCTGACCTTTAAATGAGGTTTTGAGCAGCTGCCAAGTAACATTTACAGGAAGCTCCTGAATGGTTAGAATGGACAGACTGGCTCTGGTGATGGCTCAGAGGATAAATGCTCTACTTGGCAAGGTACTGCACCACACAGATCAGCAAAGTATTTCGTTCAATACTTGACCTGTGCTAAATTAGGTAATCTCAGTTTGGACATTACTGGAAACATTATAATTAAACTGTGTCCCTGGTCTTGAATGGAGGGAAGGGATATAAGAAATAACAGAGTTTCCAATCCTTGTTGCTTTTCAATGACTGGCCAGTGCACATGTGAATAGGAAGCAATGGCAATATCAGGCTCAGTGGATAGACTGCCAAAATATTGACTCGACTCTCATGGCAAATAAGAGGCCATCAACACCCAAAATATAACCTGCCTTCAGGGCACGAGGAAAAAAAGGGCAGAAAATTGGAGGGGAAAAGTTTTAATTTTAAAACAAATTGATCAGCCACTTACCTGCGTGAGCACACTGGGCTGAATCTGAATGGACTGTGGAGCAGGTGCCTGTGGCACGACAGGCATCGCATTCTCCACTCTGACAGAAAAGCCAGAATGCTTTGCAGATGGTGGCAGCCCTGTCAGAAAACACACAAGACAATATCAAACTGGGTCCAACTGGTCAATCACCGCTAGGCGGCACTATCGCGCACAATCGAAAAGATAAGACGAAGGAGTGATAGAATTGCGTAAATCCTTCGCCCAATTGAAAATGAAGCCAGCTCCACAAAGTATTTCATGCATCTGGTAATAAAAATAAACTTATTTGTTTAAACTGCAATAAATATCACTCCTTGTTTTTTATTGAGCATTCCCGAGACGTCCCCGATATAGGGGATCAGCAAATACCCTGAAAATTTGGATGCAAATGTAAGAAACGGACTCCAAAACAATGCAGGAAAATCTCTCCCTAAGGAACCGACTGAAGATGAAGTTTAGTGAAGATTAATGAGAAAATGTCATAGGTTTGGAATGAGGGCTATCATCACAGAGTGGTAAAAGCTGGGGTTAACCTGATTTCACTTACGGGAATGTTACATTACAAGGTACAACACACCATTCAACCTTAAACCTTCCCACACACGTCTCCATGACCAGTTTGAAGAGCAATAACAAGAGGCGTTTCAAAGGTCAATCAAGGCCAGTCCTTCTCAACTCATCTGTGGTAACTCTTACATTTTTACTAATGTAAACATCCTCCTTTGATGCATTGCTTAAGCTGCCTAAAAAGCAACAGAAATATATCTTGGATATTAACACTGGCATTTCTGTACTTCAAAACAAAAGTGCTGCCAAGCACGACTGCACTCCACCCACATAACTATGGGCAAGTTTGCACAAATAGCTTTGACCTAGAAACTGCACAATGTTATTCTATACCTTTAATCCCTTTCCCCACACTGGCTACAAGAAGAACATGAAGGGTGAGAGGAGAGGAGGTGGGGGAGGATAGAGTGGTCAATGGCTCCAGAGAGGTCAAGGAGGACAACGAGGCAGAGGAAGCCCTGGTCTAAGATGGACAAAATGTAATTTGTCACTTTGTCCCAAGCTGTTTCTGTGATGTGGGCAGCACGGAAATCCAATTGAAGGGGTTGTGAAGGGAGTGGCAGGAGCGAAGCTGGGAAGCAACCGCACTCACTGCTGTGTGATAATGTAAATTTCCACTTTCAGGCCCTCCCTTTCCTCTTGCTTTTGTGTCAATTCCCACAAAATAATAATTCTTGCATTTGATACAGCTCTTTCACACTGGAGGACATCTCCAAGAGTTTCACAGGATTTAATGTAGTGATTTTTTTTAAGTGGATATGGCAGCCTATTTGCTCACCTCACAAACAACCATGACGTGATCAATCAAATTTGGGGGATTTGGCCACATCTTTTCAAATACTGCTTTAGGATCTTTAAGGTACACCTGAACAGGCAGGCGGTCGGTTTAATGTTTCATCCAAAGAACACCACCTTCGACAATGTAGCCTAGAACTGTTTTGGATTGTCAGCCTAGACTGTGAGTTCAAAGTCCTAATGTGGGGCTTGAACACGTAGCCTTCTGACTTAGGCAAGATTGCTTCCAACTTAGCCATGCTGACACCAAAACAGACACAGATAAAACATGAATCAATTTAATAAAAAAGGAATTAGACCACACACAGACTTGGAAGCCTTAAAAAGTCTTTAAAATTTCAAGTCCTTTGAATGTATAACAGAATTTAAAAAGCATTCAAGGGATACACAAGGGTTTTCACTTCTCTTGTGTAGATTTGTGGAATGTAGTGATGCCACTTACCTTGAAATGCTGGGCACACAATGAGGGCTTGCTGGAATGGGTCAGGCTGTGCGCACAGCTGTGTGGGTCCAGCCTGCAAAGGCATGCTGGGCTGTGCAACTGCCGCCATAGGTGCTGCTGTAGGCTGGTAGATGGCAGATGGGTAATTGAGCAGAGAGACGTCAGCGTTGGTCAAGGAAAAATTTGCAGCTGTTGCAGAGGTAGAAGCTAGCGTGCTGGCCTGAAAGAATTAAAAAGTCAAAATAAAGTATAATACTTTAATACAACACATGTCTGACTGGCACTGGATTTTTCAGCTAACTGAACAAAAGGGTAAGAATATCAAGCCAATAAAAAGTCACACCTCACCATTTATTTACTAATTTAATTTTGTCTCCTACTTTTCTCCCCAAACTTCAATGGGGTACTGCATCCTGATCCTCTACCTAGGCTCTCAATTTTAAAGAATTGGGTTGCAAACTCACTGTTCAATTTTACTTTCACTACAGTGGCCAATAACAACAACAATTTGGATTTATACAGTGTCCTCCACACCGGACGGCATCTCAGAGCGCTTCCATTAATGGATCCTGGGGCCGAGCCGGAGGGAAGGGGAAGAAGGTGACCAAAGGCAGAGTCGAAAAGAAAGGTCTTTAGCCAAAATCTGAAAGTAGGAAGAGGCGAAGGGAATGAGGAAGGGAGTTCCAGAGCCTAGGGGCATAGTGGCTGAAGACACGGCTGCCGATGGTGGAGCGGAGGATTCGGGGGACGAGGAGGAGGCCAGACCTGGTGGAGCGAAGGTAACGAGCACTGTTGTGAGGAGAGAGGTCAGAGAGGTCAGGGGGGGCAGAGGAGTGGAGGGATTTGAAAACAAGAGTGAGGATCTTGAAATCAATCCTCTCTGAGACAGGCAGCCAGTGCAGTCTGGCAAGGACTGGGGTGATCGGGAAGTGGAGTTTGGTGCGGGTACGAATGCAGGCGACAGAATTCTGGATGACCTGGATTTTGTGAATGGTAGTTGGGAGGGGAGACCAGCAAGGAGGGCACTTGAATAGTCCAGCCGAGAGGTGACAAAGGCATAGACCCGGTAGTTGGGCAGGTAAATGTTTGATGTCTGAAACCAGCAAAGTGACTTCAATGTTTGCCTTTAAACTTATTAAACTAAACAGTTCAACAAAGCTCACAGAATTCCATGCATACTATGAGGATATCAGAAGGAGCAGAACTGCCAAAATTACTAGAATTAAAGGTCAAATTACTATTTCTTGTTTGAGTTCTTAAAAGGCTCCATGCCCAACTACCTTCAAAAGAAGTTGAAAAGAAACATTGGTTTCTATTCTGGAATGCAGAAAAATTTCAAGATGAAACACCTTTCCTTATTGCAGAACAGATCAACTTCAAGATCACTTCACCTCCCAACCTCTCTGCCCTGCTGACATCCCATTCCTCTACCCACTGCCATCGCTCAGCTGGCTCAGGTCTTCTGCACATCCATCAGCCCCTCCTCCATTGCCAGCCATGCCTTCAGCCACTAAGCTCCGAGATTCTCTCTCCTTGCCTCTACCCCTCCACCTTGCCCCCTCTTTGGCCATCTTCGACAATGACTTGCATTTATATAGAGCCTTTCATGTCGGAAGGACGTCCTAAGACACTGGAGAGTTAAGGGTTTGCACCCAAGCTGGGGTTTGGAATCAAGAGCGGTTGAGAGTAAGTTAAAGAGGAAGGTCAAATCGCATTTTGCAATCTGCGATGAGGAAGGTCAGATCGCTTCTGAAGACTCCTCTGCAACTGTGCGTACATTTACCTCCCCTTTCTCCCTGGCCCAGCATCCAGCTTCGCCAGTGTTGAGTGCTCAAAGGTACTGCCCATGTGAAGGGCACTATATAATTGCAAGTTGTTTGCAGCAGATGTTTGTGTTGGTACACCATAGTGAAAACTATAGCTTGTTTGGGGTTATAATTTCCTGTTACAAGCACCTCCTGAAACCTGAAGTTTAATCTTAAGCCATTTTACTCGACTCTCCAGCTTCTCAACCCATTCAATGCTTTAATGAAGTGCATATATTTAGCCTCCAGCCACTTTCTATCCATATGTGTGCTGGGCAGAATTTCTACAATCATTTGGTTCATTCTCTTCAAAACTGTCTTACTCCTGCTAATTTCTTCCTATCAATTTATCTGTGATAAGTTAAATATAAAACGTACAGCAATACACAGATTTTTTAAAAATTATTACTCCATACACAACTCACATCAATTAAATGCATTTTCATAAATCATCATAACTGACATTTAGCTGAAATTAATAAATATTTTAAATATGCTAAAACAATATGGCATTCTAAAATGTGAATGAGAGTCAAAAATAAATATTGGCCACTTTAACATGAAAGGTTGCTATGGAAAACTTCCAACAGTAATATTAAGTTATCAATGATACATGTGCAAAGAGATAATGAAAACTGTACCAGTCTAATCACAAGCACCTTTATTAAAAGATTAAAGCCTGCCTCCCAGAGAGGAACACTTAAATAACTGGCTTAATAGTCTTGAACATATGCTATAATTCTGGCTCAAAATACATACTGAATTCAGAGAGCTTTTCCTCTTGTCAAAAACACACTACTGTGCACAACAGACAAGGGTACTGATCAATACCTGATTGTGCATGTTGTTGAAGGCCATCGTCAGATTTGTGCTTGTGTTTGGGGCAACGTGTGCAATAAACGGGCTTTTATTCTGGTTTACCACGTCATAATTGTTCACTCGCCGTTTGCAAATCTCCATATTATGAAAGCAGGACTTCACACTGCAAGAGAGCATTAAAACATCCTGTTATGTAAAATAGGCAAAGGTGGTTAAAAGATACTAAAGATACAAGTAGCACTGCTTTTACTCCGACTAGATAATGCAGATCACAAATTGCAGCATGAGTTTTCTACATCTACAGTTAGGAGGAGCTGAAGAAAACAGGTGATCAGAGGTAAATAGTAAACATTATCCCCACAAAGTGATAAGGAAGGCACTATATCAAACGCAAGGTTGATAAGTATGAGGATGATTTCTACTTTCGGGTTGTTTGAGCTGGATCGTGCAGACTTTTGATAGCAAGAAATCAAATCTAGTTCAAAATAAAAGTAATTAATAGCTTTGCCGGTGGTTTTGTGGATAAATGTGGGACTGAGTAGATCATGGTGGTGAGAAGACTTTCAACCCTGATCACTATCCATCAGCTTATGTTGGAAAAAGTGTCCAACATTAGGCAAGGCTGAGTATTTACTTGGCCATAATGCACCCCATAGTTACATGCATGACAGAAGTCATTTCTACTCGCCACCCAAGCTCACACAAACAGTCAGCTGGCAAAGTAACAAGGACTGCTGGCCCGCAGGGAGCATATATCATAGCCTTCAGAAAATCAAAATAAAGTCAGAAGATAAAGCATGCCGGGGTGGGGGGGGGATAGAGGGAATCTATGGCACACAAACATTTCCAAATACTATTAAACTACACTGTACATTATCTGAGTTTGTAATTCTAAGATATTATATCACACTTCATTCTAGCATGGGTTCACTTTAAACAAGCATGACTTAATCACTTGCACAGCAGGAGCCAGTAATGGGCAACGCTAAGTGTGAAAAGCCGGCTGTTTTGTGAGTGCCTGTGCAGTGACGATGCCGATCATATGATCAACCTCAATACGGAAATGCTGATCGGGAAACACATCTTGTTAACCTTTCCCCCCCACCAATTACCCTGTTAAAACCGGGCTCTACTCCACGGTGTTTTTAACCAGAACACAGATCAAAAAGCATCTCTTCTTAACTTATCATTTCAAATAGAGGAAAATAGACCAAGAGAATCTAACTATAAAGTAAATTCCAGTTTCTACTTTGGTTCAGTTTGGATATTATGCTTTATAAGATTTTTCAACAAATCTGTTTTAAACTGTTGCACAAAATACAATTAATATAAAGAAACCCATTTCACATTAGCCCCAATAATAAAAGCATCTTGTACTGTAATAAGAACCACAAATTAGCTCTGAAACTTTTATGCAATTTTAAAAAGCTTACTGATTGCTATGGGGAAAGTCAAGTAGATGTGTCATTGTAACAAATGGATGGTTCAAGGTTTTTAACGGGTCAATTCTCTTGTCAGCATCTATCGTCAACATTTTCTTCAACAAATCAATATATTCCCTTCGGTCTGCCTTCTCCGCCAACATGTCCGTTCCCTCCAAATCATTTGGCATATTCACCTGAAAGTAGAGAATATTATTAGAAGCCTGGTCAAGCCCTAGACCCCCCCCACCCAAAAAAGATCCAAGGTGAAAATCTCCATGGACCCATGTGTAGACTCTCCTAACGCACCCTAATCTAATCTTGCACTGAGTGCCCCAATGAATGCAGGAAGCCACGGTTTACTGTGTGCAATATTCCAGATTTAACCTGCAATGAAAATACCACAGGATGACCAAAAAGTTGTGATACCATTACAATGTCTAATAAGTCGTAGAGAAATGATGATTTTTTTTAGATAATAGGGTAGATATCACAACTTTTTGGTCATCCTGTAGTAGAAATGCTCTGCTACTTGATGAACTTGAATTGGATGCATTTAGTTTCAACTGGAATCAACTGTTAAAACATAGAAGAAATAGTGTTGCAACAACAACTTGCATTTATATAGCACCCGTAGCACTATGTAAATGCAACTTGTTGCAGATGTGCAGCTTTAATCTTAATGTCTTAAAAATTGAAGCCAAATGATTCGCTTTTGTTACTTGAACTCCCATTTGCCACAGACTCACATCAGATGAAAGCATAGTCAACATCCCCATTCTATGCCTCTGCTCAGCACCATCCAACTAGCCTCTAGAAGATACACAAGAATGGCCTGAGCTGACCGTCCAATTGTTGCTTGCATTGGCAAAGCAATTCGCCAGCACTCCCCACAGCAAAGATTAGGAGCACCATTTGGAGAATCATAAATTTAATCTGCAATGGAAACACTTGCAACTGGGCATTACACTGAAAAAGAACTTAACACATCCATTTGGCAGTTTCCTTTCAGACTACATCTGTGGCTCTCATCTGCATAACTGGAAATAACAAGGTTCAACTAGAGTCCTCTACAAGTAATCTATTTATGGATTAAATACTGAACCACACCCACCACAATAACTAATCCAATATCAGTAATGTATTAATCAGCAAAGTGTAATTAAACATCAAACAGAGTAACAAAAATGTTTCTGAACTACAGCTTCATTATAGAATCATCCTTTAAACATGATTGGCCACGTATTTTTAATATTAAGGTTAATGAGCCAGAATATTTTACAGAATCAGATCAAGTCCCAACACAATCTTCATCTATTGATAATCTACCAGAATCATCCAGGTGTAAAGCAAAGAATCCAATTGGCAATCAATCACTCAAGAAATTCCTGCAATACATTTACAAACAGCCTACTTTATCGAGGACCAGGGGACATACTAGTTTCAGATAGTTGTGGCAAGACACTATCCAAATGGTGACCGAGTCTTAAACTGGTAGTAAAAACACATTTTATCTGGTTTTATTCTATACAAAGCACTGTATGTACTTCATAAGAGATCAAGAATTAGCACAAAAATACCACTACCAACATGGGCTCCGTAGAAAAATTCAAGAATAAAAAAGCTGAGAAAAATTGCCAACTGAATAAATAGGCTTTCAATGCTATCTATTTAGGCTCACACATGAATAAAGGCCAATAAAGGTCAAAGTTCCAGATGAAGGGAGCCAAGCTGCTCAGGAACAGTACACTGGAAGAACTCAGCATCTTCAGAAGACAAGAGAAAATGGTGGGAAGAAAACAGTATTGCAATTTGATCCAAATGACATAACACTGCATTCAAGCGGCACCTGAGCTCACTGATTTGTTGCATCAATGCCTAAAACAGCACTAGGAAGTACAGAGCTATAAAGATGAGAATGATTCAAAAATGGTTTTGCACCATCTGACCAGTTACAAAACACTCTAAAATTCACAAGGAAGAAAGCAATTGTGCAGAGAAATACAGTATATGATGCTTATATGATTACACAGTATTGATAGAAATATTAGCAATCAATTATTACCTGTGCCATATCATCCAAACAGTTGAAAATATACTTTCTGGCTTCCTTCGATTTAATTCCCATCTCTAACTCGTGTTCTTCTGGTGTCTAAATAGGAAAAATATCAGGCCAAACAAAGCATTAAAATACCAGCACTCGTTACTGCAGTGAACGTAGGATCAGTATATTAGCATCACTGGCTACTTTCCCTGTACATTGAAACCCTGCAAATACTGGTGGGGGGTGGTGAGTGGAGGGGGAGGGACAGACTTTAGAGGATTTCTGCAGTTTACTGTGTACACCATGTGGTACTTGTGGCAACATGATCAGGATTCTAATTAGAGGGCTGATAATTAGTAGATAATTAGTAATGGAGGTGGATGCATTGTTCCCCAGGGCATCATGATTCCAATTTACTTTGATACTTACAACAACAAATAACATTTGTAAAGTACCTTTCACATCGGGAGGATGTCCCAAGGTACTTGATTTGGACCCAAGCAGAGGGCTAGGACCAGGGAGGGAGGATAGTGGTAGGAGGGTAGCCGAATGCGCGGTCGAAGAGGGGGTCTTGAGACGTGCTTTGAAGGAAGCAACGGAGGGAGCAAGACAAAGGGACTGGGGGATGGAGTACCAAAGGGTTGGGCAGAGAAGCAGTTTGGGTGGCTCAGACAGAGAAGCTGTTTGGGTGGCTCAGACAGAGAAGCTGTTTGGGTGGCTCAGACAGAGAAGCAGTTTGGGTGGCTCAGACAGAGAAGCTGTTTGGGTGGCTCAGACAGAGAAGCTGTTTGGGTGGCCTGGGCAGAGACATGGAGCAGGCCAGAGTCTGCTGAGCAAAGGTAGCAGACGGGTTGATAAGGAGTTAGCAGGTCACAGAAGTAGGGAGCAGCAATCCCGTGGAAGGCCCTGAAGGCGAGGATTTTGAACTCTATCCTCTGGGGGATGGGGAGCCAAATGTATCCAATGAGGGTGGGGATGATAGGATCATGGAGGTTCCATCTGTCTGTCTGAGGTTAACAGAGCAGACAATTCACTCCATCACTGTTTGTGGGACACTACTGTGCGCTATTTGGCTTGTGTACAAAATGTTCGCCTACAAAATAGTCACTATGTGACTTTACAATAAACCCTGTGAAGTGCTTTGAGACATCCCTCTGTGAAAGGTGCTATATCAAATGCAAAGGATGACTATGATGAATGCCTCTGGGCAAGCTGAGCAAACACTGCACACTGCTCCTCAATTAGACACTGCTACTTTCCCCATACATGCAAATAGCTCGTTAATTATGTGGGTAAAGGAGACAGAAATGGGGAGATTGTTCCACAGTCACATGAAACACAACATGTATATGACAAAAGAGCAATTTTTAAAAAATCTAATCTGTATAAACAAAGAATCCTTTTCAAATTAATTGTAACAGAATAGAACTGGTGTTTCGTACAGAATGAACCCTCTCTTTATAAATATGCAAATCTAATTTCAAAATTAATTGGCAAAAGATGTTCCCCACATTTATAAGAAGGGAAATAATTTAGAAAATCGATGACTGACCTTAAGTCTCCACAATGGATATCCCGAATCTGGATCTCTGTTAAAAAACCTTGTCGTCTTTGTTCCTGCACTTAGCAAGTACTCAGCTGGTAAACCTTGTGTTTGAGAAATGTAGCGAATCTTAGGGAAACAAAAAAAGTCATTAGATATCCACATATGGACCTGTCAAATGAAGGAAGATTGTATTAATGACAATCCTTGCATTGGATAGAGCATCCATAATGTTAAAATTAAAATTAAAACATCGCAAAATGCTTCACAGGGAATTGACGTCAAATGTTGCAACTTTGCCATTGACTTTTGACAAACACGGCAGCCAATTTACACAGCCATCCATGTCCTCAAACCAATTCAGTGGATAACCAATTAATCTGGACGAAAGTTGGCAAGGACACCAGAAGAAATTCCCTTTTCTTTTCCAATTGTGTTATGGGATCCCAGCATGTGTATGACAAACAGCAAGTTTTAAAAAACTTGGGAGACCTGTAGCATATTGGTTAGAGCATTCGCCTCGCAAGCAAGAGGACCTGGATTTGATTCCCGGGTGGACGAAACATTGGCCAAGTTTCCTTACTTCTCCCGCCTCTGTTTACCAAGCGGCAAATAAGAATCCGATTGGCAGATCACTTTTACAGGGGTAATAAACTTGAAAAAAAAATAATATTAATGTGGTCACTCAATCCATGACAGTTTATGGGACACTACTGTGCACTATTGGCTGCCAGGTTTCACCCACAAAATATACAGTCAATTCACCTTTCAGTATATCCTGTGAAGCTCTTTGAGACGTTTCAAATACTTGATAAGGCACTATATCAAATGCAAGGATTATTATTATCTTTAACAGCTACTTGAACAGGTAGATGGGCCTCACCATGTCTCACATGATGAACAGCACCTTGGATAATGTGGAGCTTCTGTGGTGCAGTGCTGGAATGTCAACTATAAATTCAAATCCCTACATGAGGTTTAAATGCAGAACTCTGGCCCAGAGGTGAGACCAACTGAAACAAGCTGCCACCCAGATATCAAAACTACATACAGAATTTTTTTCTGTCTCATTCATTTCATCACTGTTTGTGGGACCTACTGCAAGCAAAATGGCTGCTAAGTTTGCCTTTATTAGTACACTTTGACAATAATTCCTTGCAAAGAACTTGGGATACATCTGAACCTGATAAAACTCTATAAAATTACAAGTTCTTTCTTCCTACTCCTTCACCGTTTTATTCTAACTTTCATTCGACACTACATTGCTGAACAGTGGCTTGTGTAAAACTGAACTGGACAAACTACAAAAATCCCAAATCTGGGGCAAGTTAGCCATTTAAAATGGAAGCTCAAGAAATGTCCTGAGAAATGCCTTTCTTGTAGAATGCCTCAGGTGACATTGTTGAATGTACTTGAGATTACTTAATCCAGAAGCCTGCCAGACATCATACACAAATCCAGGACTAGTTAAACTGTTGAAATACTTCAGACTTTCAGCCAAGTCTAGATTTATCTTTTGTGAAAATACACGGTGTCGGAAAATGCATGGACCCCCTCCTATTATCTATTCTTTACTTCAGTAAAATAGTACTTTGGAGTAAATTATGTACAGCCTGTAGTTCCGCATTGAAACATACCACATATATTAATGGGGAGGCCATGCAGCTTCAATAGCAAACTGGTAAAGTACTCATTATAGTCACCTTTGCACATCACACATTATCATTTCTGTACAGAGCTTTTAGAGGAGGGAGGGAGGGGTTCAGCACAAAAAATGACAGCTTGGATACAGTGAACAAGATGCAAGTTCTGGACCCTGATACAGAATAAGGACATCGTTAAAGACAAGGAGATGGGCAATAAGCCAAATCTTTTCAAAACGTGTTGTTTATTTTGGAAGCGTTATACTCTTGAAACAATTCGCTTTTCCGGGGGTAATAACCCCTTAAAATAATAATTTGGTCACTCAATCCATGACTGTTTGTGGGACACTGCGTGTTTCACCCACAGTCAATTACAGTCAATTCATTTTTTACAGTATATTCTGTGAAGCACTTTGAAACATCTCGAAGACATGATAAGGCGCTATATCAAATGCAAGGATTGTTTTATTATATGGAGCCATTAAAATTTTGAGTATTAAATTGATTCTAAATGCTAGGGAAGCTTCAAATTTGCTACTACTTGTATTGGTGGTGCACACCTTTGACCCTGAATGAATGGCACCTTCATAGAACTTCGGATTACTCTTTTATATTGCATTTGTACGTGACCACTTAACTTTACCCACTTTGTTTCACAGTCACTCAAGCTGCCAATTCTCCCCCCAAAATCATATCTAATTTCAGATACACTTTGTTTGCAAACCGGCACGTTCACTCCCCAATGACCAATTATGTTAATAATTTGGTTCAGTTGGTAGCATTCTCGTTTGAGTCAGCACGTTGTGGGTTGAAAGTCCCATCAGCGCTTTGAGCTGTCTAGACTCTCATTTAATAATAATCCTTGCAGTTTGTATAGTGCTATTCATGCCAGGATGATGTTCCAAAGAACTGTATGTTTACTTTAATTTAAAATTTTAATTAAACTTTAAGTTTGTGATTTTTAAATTATATTTTGTGGTGAAGCACAGCAGCTAATGTCCCACCAACAATGACCAATTTTATGTGGGATTGTTGACCAAGACACTGGGAGAAACTCCCTTTTCTTTTCAAAAAGTGCCATGGGATCTTTAACATTTACTTGAACAGGCAGACAGAGCCCCAGTTTAACATTGCAGCCGAACACAGCACCTCCAACAATTCAGCACACCCCCAGCACTGCATTGGAGTGTCATCTTAGACCATATGAGTTCCAAGTCCTGACGTGCGGCTTAAACCCACAACCTTCTGACTCAAAGGCAAGAGTGTTACCAACTGAGCCAGTGTGACACTTCATGCAGTATTCGGGGAGCACTGCATTGTTGAAGGTGCCATCCTTCAGAGTCCTGTTTGCCTAAGGTAAACATTGAAGATACCATTACAGTTTCAAAAAGAGAGGGTGTTTATGTTGCCTGAGACAACAAACCTCCAGATAAGTTGGCCATTTATATCACACCTGTGGTACACAGCTGTACACCAATTACAGTAACTGCCTTGTTTGTCTACAAATGGGTACTACACTTCAGAGCAATCATCTGTGAAGCACTTTGAGGTGTTGTTTTGTAGGCACAAAGATTATTTTATCAATGGATTGTAAAAGGCATATTTACTCCATACCACCATGCAGTCAGTTTCTTGCCTGCCTGCCTATCTTACATTTGTGCATAAAAGTGGAAACCAAAGGGCCAGAAAATATATTGAAAACAAAAGGGCTAACATTTACATCATTGTGTAATTTCCCGACTTTGTTATTCTAAATTAAATCTGTATAACAAATTGAATTGTCACAATGTTTATGATTTTCAGCATTTATTGTTATTAAATATAAAAGCAGCTTATGTGCTGAATATTCAGTTTGGTTACGGAGCTATCACAGCCTCACTTCCTGTAGAGCAGTACTGACGCCAAGCTGATAGGAATTGCTGACATCTGCATTACATAAAATCTAGGTTTCTGTCTTATCAACCAAATAAAGTCTGTTGCAATGCTCCACCCTCTTACTGGGTTCTCTTCTAAGAAATGAAAACATGAGGACATCCTATCTGGTTTCAGACATGCTACACAAGTTACAACTTCAAAACATTTGATAGGCAAGAATACAGTATGTCCCTTTGATGGTAAAATTCATACCAATGCTGTAGATTAGTGATCTGTGTGTGAGCATTCAATATTTGGATGGTGGTCAAACCAAATAGTTAAGAATGTCAATAGATAGATAGATACAGAAATGACAACATAGGCACATGACCGGACCGCACCCATAGCTTTATTCTTTGTTGTTTTACTGAAAACAGAACTGGGAGTTCAGATCTTCAGTTATTGCACATTTTTCCTTTACTTATCCAAATTGGTTTCAGACCACTTTGTGTACAACGAAGCACATATTAACATCCAAAGTTCAAGAGCACTAGTGCGCACAAATTCATTATAGGTTGAAGTATTTCTTTATAGTGCACTTTTTGGACTAATACTGCACTCTGAGTCACATCATTCGAATCTATAGGCAATTACCTCTAGAATTACCTGGAAGTGGTGCTTTCATAACAGTAGTGTGACACAACTTGACTGTGAGCAACATATAGGCTCATTCCAGATGCCTTGAACTGACTACAATTAGGATAATGCACTGCTTTGAGTGCATCAAAAAAAATAATCCTTGCTTTGAAATAATACCTTACCACACTGTTAAGACGTCTCAAAGTGCTTCACAGAATATACTGTAAAGTGAATCAGCTTTATATTTTGTGGGCGAGACGCAATAGCCAATTGCACACAGCAGTGTCCCGCAAATAATCATGCATTGAGTGGCCCCAATTTTTTTTTTAAAAACGTTCACTCAAAGCAGATGGTTACTCACCTAATTGTACATCAAATGTCTGAAATCCCTCACAATCATAGCCTCATGACCATAGACTTAAAATTAAAGATCGGGCAAGATTTTGGAATGGTTTTCAATTTAATTCTACAACTGAAAGCAAATCCTGATAAAGAACTGCAGAAAAGCAGCCTATAAAATGAAGACTGAATTTAAGAATTTTCCAAAATTTTGCACAACTATAAACTTGAAGATGATGGTTATTGACTAAGTCACCGGACTCGACTCATTTTGGTGTTGATACAGTCCAGACACAAAACTGGTTCGGCAAAACATACAACCATAAAAGAGAAGTTTCAGCAAATTATGGGGATTACCTTCAATTAAGTGTATGAAAATTATAATCCTGCAAGCTTCGAATGAATCGTTATAAAAGATTTTAAAACTTATTTTGAGGGGGGCCAAGTTTACACAGTAGTTACCACAGTGTCATTTCACTTCTAAATCTAGGATTAGAACTTCACTCAATTGAGCTTACCTGATCATACTCTGACGCTCCTGGATACAATGGCCATCCCAAAAACATCTCTGCTATCACACAGCCCAGTGACCACATGTCAATTGCTTCACAGAACGGCAGCCCAAGAATAATCTCAGGAGCTCTGCAGAGTAAAAAAAATTTTACCAATCAAATAAAAATTCAAATACACTACCACAGATTCTTAATTTAAGTTACACCTATATGTGTCACATACTCAAATTTGCTACTGTAATTTCTAAATAAAAAGTGCTGATCAAAAACTCTGCCGCCCACATACTCACCCGTACTAAATTCTGCACCACCATCACACCAGTTCTAGCCAGGCTCCACTGGCTCCCTATCGCTGAATGGATCAATTTCAAGATTCTCAAATCCCTTCATGCGGCATCTCCCTACCTCTCCAACCTGCTTACTCCCCAAACCACTACCCCCTGCCTCTGCGTGACTGGCTCCAGCCTCCTGCATGTTCCTTGTGCCCTCCGTTCCACTATTGGCGGCCGCAATTTCAGCCACAACGCCCCAAACCCTGGAACACTCTTCCTCTATGCCTCTGCTTTTTCCCTTCCATCCCCATCGTCAGGTCACACCCGAAGACCTTCCTATTCGACCGTGCCTACGGTCACCTCCCCCTGGCTCGGCACCGTGCTCCACCATTGTCAAGCTCTCTGGGCCGCTGAGTGAGGGGCTCTATATAAATGCAAGTTGTTGTTATTATTAATAAAGTGTGATATGATAAAAATATAAACATTTAACAAAGCAGAGCACCCAATAAAGAATATAAAAACAGTCGGAAGGTCAGAGAGTACAATTCCATACAAATGTACATTTATAAAACAACAACTTGGATTTATATAGCGGCCTTCACCCGGGATAGCATCCCGGAGTGCCTGACAGTGGCGGAGTCTGATGCCAAGCCAGGGGGGGAGGGAGGGGGTAGGCCACCGTAAGCACGATCAAAGAAGGTCTTTAGGCTGGATTCAAATATGGGGAGGGAGGGGGCAAGGTGGAGTGATTAATGATATACTGCCTTCCACATTGGGAGGCTGTCCCAAAGTGCTTATACCACATGAGCTTTAAAAAAACTAATTTAAAAGTGAGGATTGACAATCGATTGCTTTGATGGATTTATTACCAGAGCTCTACAAACACTAAAATAGTGTATTCATGCAAAGCAAGCGACTAAGAATAGAAAAATGGGAGAACATCAAATGGGTTTAGCAATCCGCAAGTGGCCAAATGGTGGTGGTAACCGTTAGGATTTAGCCATCCGAGTATTAATAAATAATTAATAAATAATCCTTGCATTTGATATTGTGCCTAGTCTAATACAAACATAATCTGTTCTTTTCTAGTTCAGTAAAAACAAGTTTTAGCTGTAACGTAAACTGCTCTAGCAGTCTGAACCAGTTGCTAAAAATTCTTTGGGTACGAAGCATCAGATCCCCAGGTAACGCTGTAAGAATGCACCATTTGGTTTATAAACAATTAACTTTTGGGTTCTTAATACAATTCAGAAGGACAAAAGATCCCGAATCTCTCTTCGCTGTCTACTTCCCATATCGTGTTTCATTAATTTCCACAACTAGCGAGGTGACCACAGGAGAACGAATACTGTACATCACCACTGTAAAAAGTATTCTGTTTTCAATATTTAAATAGGGACGAACAATGTAATGACGATGCTCGTTTGCTTATTCCTAAGCATGAAATTATACCACCAATTACGAAACTATACATCACAAAAATATACTCTATAAGAGGGTGGAGGCTTTACTGTGAACAAAGATTACACTTCAGGAAAATAACATCTGTTGGTTTCATAGCAGCTTCTGGCCCAGATTCTATAATGCACCAATACCACAAGCAGCAACAGCTCAGTATACACACGCACAATGTGTCAGGACATATTGTGAGTGGTTTGAATATACATGAGCCAGATCAAGCAGACTTCTAAATGGGCCTCAAGTGAAAGAGTTTGAAACAAACTACAATATGAAGTTGCCAGTCAGCAAAAGCAAACAAGCTAGCAAAATCAAGACACTACAACGCCTCCCAACACAGACAGCCTTGTAAGGGCTTGCCCTGAATTTGCAATGGTATCGAGGACTTTAGACCACACTTCAGGAGTGATTTTAATGATACAAAGCCAAACAGTACAGAAGAGATTAAAAATACAAGCTTATCATGATAAGCCTCTTTATAGCCATCAGGTCTGTTTTCCTACCCACAGACATTTTTTTGCCCCAACCTCGATAACAGCAAGTGCAAGATACCGCACAATGAATATCATCAGGTTAATAAAATGAAGTAAGCCATCACAAGCAACCCTGATACTGTCCTCATCCACAGCTCAAGCACGTATGCTGAAGTGATCAATAGGGAAAACCCTGCACAATTGTCTCTCTCCCGAGCCTGGGCTCACAGGTATCAGCCATAGCTCTGTTGTAACACATTCCTGTGAATGCTTGTCCTCATGTTCATGTGTTTCTTAGTGCAGGAATTCTTTAATAATAATCGAGTCTTCGAGAAGTCTCAAAATGCTTTACAGAATACACTGCTAAAGTAAATTGACTGTACATCCTGTGGGCATAACCTGGCAGCCAGTTGCGCACAGCAGTGTCCCCCAAACAGTTGTGGAATGAGTGACCAAATTATTATTATTATGTTGAAGGAATTATTAGCCTCCTAAAAGCAATAAAACCTTTGACAATTGTGATGGCAGCACAATTAACATTCTGCAATCAAGTGTTTTTTCCATTTACACATGAAAGTAAAAATTAAGTCATTTCCCAAAGTAGCAAAATGGCATCAGGTATATTTGCTTCTGTGATCTTGCCACACCCACATCCAAACAAAACCTAGAAATATGTAGGGGTGATGAATATTTGTGGAAAGAATATTGTATAAACTAAACACACAGATGGGTGGAGACTGGTGTGGATTATAAACACCAGCACAGACTGGTTAAGCTAAGTGGCTGTTCCAGTACTGTACACTGTGTGTGAATCTTCTCCAGCACAGCAACAATTTACTATACATTGAATCTTGAAAGTTATTCAATATTGGTTATTTTATGCCGCTAATTTCAAGCTAACCTAATTTTCAAAAGATATTTAACTCAAGAATTCCTAATATCATACAAATAGAATGTACAGTTTGATTTTACATAATAATCCTTGCATTTGATATAGCGCTTTTCATGTCTTCTCGAAGTCTCAAAGCGCTTCACAGAATATACTGTAAAGTGAACTGACTGTATATTTGTGGGTGAAATGCGGCAGCCAATTGCGCACAGCAGTGTCCCACAAACAGTCGTGGATTGAAGTGACCAATTTATTATTGCTTTTTTTCTTGAGGGATTATTATCAGTTGTGTGGAGTAAGGAAACTTGCCCAAGGTTTTGCCCTGCTGGGAATCGAACCCAGGTCTCTCATTTGTGAGGCGAGTGCTCCAACCACTGAGCTACAGGACTCCGACAGAACATTCCATAGAATAAATGCAATTTTACATATTTTTGCCAGTGCAAAAGCAAAAACGCAACATACTTTTTATACAAAAAGAACTTTTAATACAGTAATTGCTTAAATATCAGTGCTTTCCTTTGGTTATTCGCCACTAAATGCAGTATTTGCACATCTGTTGCTATAGTTCAATAATAAAAACACTTCCTTTTATTCTCAGCAAAAGGTATATTCCACCCCTGTGTGTGGATGCAAAACCAATTGGTTTGATAAAAACTAAAAATAGATTTCCAGGCCGTAAAAAGTCTAAAGTTGAAAGATAAAAATTTAAATTTAAAATTAAATTACTTTTCACAAACACTATACACAAAGGATGCAATTGTTTGGGTGCATTGGTTTATAACAACCGGTAAGCTTCCCAGAAAGCAGCATCATTTGCATCCCTGTGATGGCCTTTACATACTGTGGCTGATAAGGCTACTTACTGAATAAATATGGAATGCACTGCAATAGTGAGCTACAATAACTCTGTCCATACATTCTGGATTCTTTTCACTTGTTATGCTTCGCATTAATAATAATCCATGCATTTGATATAGCACTATCAAGCGTCTCAAAGCGCTTCACAGAATATACTGAATTAACTGTCTATTTGGTGGGCAAAATGCGACGGCCAATTGCACACAGCAGTGTCCCACAAGATAATAATAAACCAAGAAGAGGTACTAAAAAGGTTGTCAGTGCTCAAGGTAGATAAGTCACCCGGTCCGGACGGGATGCATCCTATGTTACTGAGGGAAGTCAGGGTGGAAATAACGGAGTACAATTTCCAAGTTTGCAGATGATACTCAGCGAGGAAAAGTCATAAACAGGGAGGAGGACAGTAGCAGAATGCAAGGGGACATAGACAGATGGTAACATGGGCCGACACGGGGCAGATGAAGTTTAATGTGGTGATGCGAAGTGATGCGTTTTGGGAGGAAGAATGAGGAGAAGCAAAATAAGCTGATGGTACAATCTTAAAGGGGGTGAAGGAACAGAGAGACCTGGGGGTCATATAAGGAAATCTTTGAAGGTGGCAGAACAGGTAGATACAGCTGTTAAAAAAGCATCCGGGATACTGGGCTTTATAAATAGGGGCACAGAATACAAAATTCAGGATGTTATGATGAACCTTTATAAAACACTGGTTAGGCCTCAGCGAGAGACTGCGTTCAGTTCTGGGCTCCACACCTTAGGAAGGATGTCAAGGCATTGGGGAGGGTGCAAAGGAGATTGACCAGAATGGTATCAAGAATGAGGGACTTCAGTTAACAGGAGAGGGTAGAGAAGCTCGGATTATTCTCCTTGGAGCAGAATAGAAGTTTTCAAAATTATGAGGGGATTCGATAGGGTGAGCAAAGTGAAATTATTTCCACTGACGGGTGGGTCGGTAATCCAAAGACACTAATTTAAAATAGTTGTTAAAAGAAACAGAGGGGAGGTGAGGAGAAATGTTTTCACACAGTAAGTTGTTCGGATCTCGAATCCATTGCCTGAAATCGTGGTGGAAGCCGATTTGATAACATTTTTAAGAGAGACGTAGATAATTATTTGGGGAGGACAAGTTTGCAGGGCTATGGGGAGAGAGTGGAGGAGTGGGAATGAATTGGATGAGCTT